TTAAACTTTGATGAACTCAGTATGTGTTAAACTGACAAATCTTTCACATAATCACTTTAGTGAAGGAACAGTAATTAGACAGCCAACATAAACCTCTCCAGACGTCATCAATACTCAACAGTAAATCCTTTTAGTCAGATTACAACAGATTAAACAGAAACATACAGAGAAACTACATTCAGCCTTTTATTGTTTTTAGCACATAATATAACAGTACTGTTCTGCTTGCTAATAAAACATTTGGACTCATCATAACATAAGTTACTATCATTATACCCTCAAACTTTAACTCATGTAAGAATCTAACCCATATATTTAACCTAGCAGTTTCTTATAATTAAAATGTAAATACAGATTGGAAGTTAAAATAAACATACAAGTACACATACTGTAAATTGCAAAATCATCAAACAGCTACACACAAAATATAAAATGTTTGAGTAATAGTAGTTTATCAGTATATATGTCTAAATATTGAACACTCATATATTGTTTGACAAATGTAAATGATACTATCCAGGTGTGGCCTGTCTATCAAATATGAATTGAAATGGAAACGCATGCACAATGCAAAGAAATGGTAAAATAATAATAATAATAATGTTGCCTGTGAAAAAGCGTAGAATCTTTAGATGAGTTTTCATTCTTGAGTTTTTATCATATCCACCCACCCTGAATAGCAAAATAAACTCTTGCAGACAAACTTGACCAAACAAATAACCTATTTTTAAAGAGAGAGAGAGAGGAAGAGTGTGTAAGAGAGAAAGAGAGAGAGAAAAGGGAAATGAAATGAAATTAAAGGAAACGGAAACCAAGCTCAACATTAAGACACAAAGTGTTAAAGTATTACTATAACAAAAAAATAACTGAATTTGACCCTGAACCAAACTTAGATTTTATTTGGACATAACAAAACCACAACACTGCCAAATTAACCAATAAAACAGTAGTTTTAATCAGTGAAAATATAAGTGAACACGACTTAGACAAAAAATCCTGAAATCTTAACAAATATCGATTATGTACATTGTGACATGAATCAAATATGAGTATAACTTTCTTCTTTTCTGCCCCAAATATCCCACAACGATAGAATTTACCGCCACAATTTAAATTAAATGGTTCATTTACATTTAGTCATTTAGCAGGCGGTTTTATCCAAAGCGACTTACAAACGAGGACAAGGAAGCAATTTACACAACAATAAGAGCAACAATGAATAAGTGCTGTAGGCAAGTTTCAGGTATGCAAAGAAAGTGTAAGCAAAACAGTAATATATATTTTTTTTTTATAGTTAGTGGACGAGTCAGAGAGGGAATTGTAGATTAGTTTGGAAAGTGGAGATTAAATAGTTGAGTTTTAAGTCGTTTTTTGAAGACAGCGAGTGACTCTGCCTTTCTGATGCAGTTAGGGAGTTCATTCCACCAACTGGGCAGATTGAGCGTGAGAGTTTGGGAAAGTGATTTCTTCCCTCTTTGGGATGGAACCACAAGGCGACGTTTATTCACAGAACGCAAGTTTCTGGAGGGCCTATAAATCTGTAGAAGTGAGAGCAGATAAGAAGAGGCGCAGCCAGAAATCGCTTTGTAAGCAAACATCAGAGCTTTGAATTTGACGCGAGCAGCAACTGGCAGCCAGTGCAAACGTGTGAGTAGCAGAGTGACATGTGCTCTTTTAGGTTCATTAAAGACCACTCGTGCTGTTGCATTCTGAAGCATCTGGAGAGGTTTGATAGAGCTTGCTGGGAGGCCGGCTAGTAGGGAGTTGCAATAGTCCAGTCTAGAGAGAACAAGAGCTTGAACAAGGAGTTGAGCTGCATGTTCAGATAGGAAGGGTCAGACTTTTATGATGTTGTAGAGTGCGAATCTGCATAATCGAGCAGTTCTAGAAATGTGAAAGTTTAGCTGGTCATCAATCGTTACTCCAAGGCTTTTCACTATTTTGGATGCAGTAATGTTTGCCCCATCCATCTGGATTGAAAAGTTATGATGTAGAGTCGGGTTGGCAGAAACTTCAAGCATTTCTGTTTTCGTGAGGTTCAGCTGAAGATGATGATCTTTCATCCAGTGTGAAATATCCAACAGGCAGGCTGCGATGCGAGCCAGAACCGAGGGATCATCAGGGTGAAAAGAGAGGTATAGCTGGGTATCATCAGCATAGCAGTGGTAGGAAAATCTATGTTTCTGGATGACTGCTCCTAAAGATGTTGTGTAGATGGAGAAGAGAAGTGGCCCAAGAACAGAGCCCTGTGGTACCCCAGTTCATTCTAAACGACTCAGATAAAATTCACAATATACTCAGAGGAAGGCATGACTAGCTGCAAAATATGTGTACACCATCCACGCCATGAGAAATTATTCATTAACTGAATTAATTTCATTTAATTGCCTTTGGCTTAGTCCCTTATTTATCAGGGGTTGCCACAGCAGAATGAACCGCCAACTATTCCAGTATTTTTTTTGCACATCGGATGTTCTTTCAGCCGCAACCTAATATTGGGAAACACCCAAACACACTCTTACATTCACACACTATGGCCAATGGGGATGGGCATCCTATGCATAAAGCATATGCTAAATAAGTTGGCGGTTTATTCCGCTGCAGTGGCAACCCCTTATTATTAAAGGGACTAAGCCGAAAAGAAAATAAATGAATGAATGACTTATAGCGCATGTCTTTGGAATGTTGGGAAACCAGAGCACCCAGAGGAAACCCCTGCAAACTTGCAAATTCCACACAGAAACGGCAACTGGCCCAGCCAGCACTCAAACCAGTGGCCTTCTTGCAGTGAGGCAACAGGGCTAAACCATTGAGCCACCTTGCGGCCCTGAATTAAATTGCATTATTTTAATAATCTACACTGTCTATAACTGTAATGTCTACAATTAATATGAGAGGTATTGTCTGTTTTTGTTCTTTTTTTCCTATTTCTCAATGATTTTATATTTTATTAGGTTGAGGATGTAATTATAGGTGACGCGGTGGCGCAGTTGGTAGTGCTGTCGCCTCACAACAAGAAGGTCGCTGGTTCGAGCCTCAGCTGGGTCAGTTGGCATTTCTGTGTGGAGTCTGCATGTTCTCCTTGTGTTCTCCGGGTGCTCCAGTTTCCTACACAGTCCAAAGACATGTGCTATAGGTTAAGTGATGGGTTGCAGTAGGAAGGGCATCCACTGTGTAAATCATGCTGGATAAGTTGGCGATTCATTCGGCCGTGTTGACCCCAGATTTTTACCAACAAAAAACAAACTAATGACAGTTTAGAAGAGTTTTTAAATACAAAAAACTCAAGGTGACACCAGGTGCAGTGGGTAGCATGATCTCCTCACAGCAAGAAGATCGCTGGGACTGTTGGCAGTTGTCTGGGTGGAGTTTGCATGTTTGCGTGGGTTTCATTCGGGTGATCCGGTTTCCACCAGTCCAAAGACTTGCGGTAGGTGACTTGAATAAGCTAAATTGTCTGTAGTGTATATGTGTGAATGAGTGTGTATGGGTGTTTTCCAGTGTTGGGTTGCGGCTGAAAGGGCATTTGCTGCGTAAAACATATGCTGGACAAGTTGGCAGTTCATTCCACTGTGGCAACCCCTGATTAATAAAAGGACTAAGCCAAAAAGAAAATGAATGAATAAATGAAAAACTGAAAAAAAAAAAACTTAGTATGACAAAATATGAGAAACACTTATGGAAATAGATATTTTATAGATGATAGAAACTATTTATTTCATAAGAAATAAAATATAGCCACATCTCAAAAAATATTTCTTTTAAAAACTTTTTTAAATTCAACAAGTATTGCAAAAAAAGCGGAATAATTTGAAAGTTTGGAGTTTTGATAAGCCTGTGGCACTGCTAAGTGTTATTGATGCACATAATGCTTTGATAGTGGCCTTCAGATCATCAGTATTGTTTGGTTGGATGTTTCTTATCCTCTAGAAAAAAATACCCTATGGGGTTTAGGTCAGGTTATGCCAATAAGGCACAATGATATTATGGTCAGAAAACTATTTAGAATCATTTTGGGCTGTGGGTGGGTAAGACGTCTGCTGCAAGAGGAACTACCCATTTCTAAAAAAAAAAAAAAAAAAAAAGCTTGTCAGCAAAAGCATTAGGTTCTCTAAAATGTCCTGGTACATGCTGCATTGACTTGACTTGACATTGGCTTGATAAAGTTGATCAATACCAGCCGATGACATGTCCCCAAAATCAGTACACTTTATCACACAGATCTTGACCACAGTCCGATGTTATTGCAAACTGCAAAAAAATAAATAAAAAACTGTCCTTGTGTTTTGTTTTGGTCATGTTTTTCAGAAAAAAGTGGGTATTTCAGAATAAACAAGCTTGCACTGCATTAACAGGTTAGTTCATCCAAATCTGAAAGTGCTGTCATCATTTACTCAAACTTCACTTGACACACAAACCTGTTTGAGCTGTTTTTTTTCTGCTGAACACAAAAGATATTTAGAAAATTTTAGAAACCAGTAATAATGATCTCCATAGTATTACATTTTCCTATTTCCCAACTAGTTTCCTACTGTTCAACAGAATAACAATACTCATAAAAGTTTGGAACCACTTGAGGGTGAGTAATTATATATATATTTTTTTGGATGAAGTATACTTTATAACGCCATCAGTGAAAAGAGATGTAGCAAATCGTCACCTTGGAACTGTAAGGTTCTATCTGCATTCTGAATGATTTTGAAATACTGAGCTTCAAAGTTTTTACATTCCATAGCAAACAGTATGTGTGTAACATTTTTTTTTAAATAAAAAGTCTTAAAACGTAAACAAGTTATTAAAAAAAGATGCTATGATGTAAACAAGTTGTCAGAAAATGTCAATAACTAAATTTAGACTAAAATGTCAGATAGAACCTTAAAATTCTAAGGTGACGAAAGATAAATGGATTTCTAATTTGTCATAAAATTGGATCCTATCTTGAAATAAGTCAAACAAAAAAACTATTTTACATTGATAAACTGAAAGTGAGACAGCAGACAGGTAGTAGAAAACAGGGTTGTTTATTGAACGATAAAGCAAGTTGAGTTCAGATGAAGATTGCGATGCAAAGTTTTTGTCTTAACTTTGAGTTTATAGAAGGTTAAATTGATGTCCTTGATGCATGGTTGAATGGTGACAGAAAGAGCATGCTGTATTTTACACAAAGAAAGGCGCAAAATTAATTTAACACAATAACAGCTGTTTCACAACTTGACCCACGTGTCCTCAGCAGGATGGTAGCTGGCATTCTTCTCAGTTTTTGCACATTGACCACACGGGTCATAAAAAATACTAGAAACTTGCAAGAGTGACCTCTTAGAGAGAATTGTCATTTATGCTGTGTGAGGAGTGATGAGTGAATACAGAGTGTTTGCATCATCCTGAGCTGCAGGATCACAGTGCTGCACAGTGGAATATATTACAGATGAACTGTCTATCACCATTTCATCATAGATGTGATAGACACCATCTGCAGTCTGAGAGAAACCAGGAGAGAGAGAGAGAGAGAGAGAGAGAGAAGTGGAAAAGAGAGAACAACATGTTTAGTAAACATACTGTGCAATCAACATGTTTAGTGTTACGGCAATTAAATAAACTTTACTGCAAATAGAAATGTATATTTATGATGATCATTAAAAACTAGTTGGCTTCCTATGAGTTTTAGAGAAAGAAAAAAAAGAAAGGTGACACACAAAAGCTAAAAAAATGCCCAACAGAATTTATCAATGTGCTAAAATAAATGCCCCTGTACTAAATAAACTTCCTTTCAAAGTTCCAAAATTGTAACAGAATATGCTTTGTTTTAGGCTTTTGGAAGAAAAAAACAATCATATATCAGCAGAGTTTAATTATGTAGGCAGAAGCCCATCCAAGATGTAAAGTTACGTGCAGTGTGCGAATTATATATTGATAATTGGGGGTGCTATTTACTTTTCACAATGTTGATTGTGTCAAAGCAGCTTAACATAGTTCTAATAAAAGTCCAGATTTAGTTATTGTTAACGTGTTTAGTTAGTTAATGTGTAATACATGCCTCAGTCAATCAAATGTATGTATTAATATAAATAACATCAAATGTATTAATAAATGAATGTATTATAATGAATTCTAAATAAATAATTGTGTTTAAGTTTTCAGTGTTTTGTTGGATAGGCTATTTAGTGTATTCCAGGGGCGTAGCAGCCAGGGGGATGGAGAGATAAGCCCCCCTCACTTTTAGGCCGCATTTACACTAATACTCTTCAGTGTTTCCAAAACATTTTGTTTTCGGAGCTCAAAAACTTCAGGGTAGTGTAGACGGAAGCCGTAACCATAGCAAAACTTTAATAAATGTGTTTTAAAATGAAAACATATTAGTGTAAACGGGGCCTTAGAGAAAGTCCATTTAGGAAGTGTCCACGCCCTCGGTGTATTCTGACTTGATTAGCTTTTTCGGCTTACTTTGGGTCAAACTATACAAACTCTGCGTCTAATTTGACTTTACTTTTAGGCTATATGATGCTGAATGACTTTTCTTCTCAGACTGATCAGTGCAATTATGCATTCACAGTGGTATGAGCCGTTATAGGGGTGGTCAAATGAAATCTATTATTTTAATTATTAACATTATTATTTAAAATACAGATCAGAGAGAACTTTTTCTCTCTTTCAAAAAGCTGTCCCCCATACATCCAATTCCCCCATAAACCCTCTGTAATTCGCAACATTATTGCAGGTCTTTTAAGACCTAAAATGTAATAATGATTATTCAGATACATAACAATGCCATTATCCTAAAGTATGTACAGTTGCTGACAATAGTGTCTGGCTGGAGACTTGCACATGGACGCTCAGACATGCACTCTCTGACATATGCATTTACTAGAACAGTGGTACCCAACCTTTTTCTTAGGGCCCCCCCATCCCCCCCCACCCCCCCACCCCCAAAGAACATATACAAACATTGGAGCCCCCCCCATATATATATAATTGTAATCATCATAATTGTCATAATTGTAATCACGATAATTCAAAACGATTATCAGTTAAAGTCAATATTATTAGCGCTCCTGAGAGTTTTTTTTTTAATATTTCCCAAATTATGTTTAACAGAACAAGGAATTTTAACAGTATTTCCTTTAATATTTTTTCTTCTAGGCTTATTTGTTTTATTTTAGCTAGAATAAAAGCAGGTTTAAATATTTTGAAACCAATTTAAGGTCAATATTATTAGCCCCCTTAAGCAATAAATATTTTTGATTGTCTGTAGAAGAAACTACTGTTATACAATGACTTGCCTAATTACCCTAATTAAGCCTTTGAATTGCACTTTAATCTGAATGCTTGTATTTTGAAAAATATCTAGTAAAATATTATGTACTGTCATCAAAGCAAAGATAAAAGAAATCAGTAATCAGAAATGAGATATTAAAACTATTATGTTCAGAAATAAGTAAAAAAAAAAAAAACTTCTTTCCATGAAACAGAAATTGGGAGGAAAAGGGTTGCAAATATTCAGGAGGGCTAATAATTCCAAGTGGTGCTCGCTGCAGAGTCATTTGAGGAGAGCTGAGCTCCAGCGAGGGGGAGCTTAAGCTTGAGCTCCACCTTTTTTGCACTTCTTCTACGAGTGATGAGAAATAAATACAATAGAACAAAAATATTAAACAAACTGTGCTTTAAGCATCTTCACTGTAAGAAAAACACTTTAGCTACAGCAGTCCTTTAGTCAAGACTAGTGAGGGATTTTCTCGTTGTTTGATTAATAATCATAAAAACAGGCGGCAGCAGGAATATTTCTCGCTGTCTCTTTGGTTTCTCTTTCACGTCTTTTGATCCTCAACTCGTTTGTTTATTACACAAATGAGGTTTAATATAAAAAAATCACTAAACACCCCGTTTTGACACCTATTTGACCATTAAAGCGCTCACGTTAATGACTTTAGATGTCTGCGCTCCTCTGCTCGTCTCAGTGTGCGAATGAGAGCGAATGCTGACCGGCCGCATGCTTCTGACTGAGTGTGCGTGCTGCACACACACATAAGCACGCGCTCCTTTGCGCTTTTTAGAGCAACACGTGTACAACTGGAAAGGTGGCGGTATATGATGCAATAATCCTTTATCTCGATTAATGCTTTTTTATAATCGTTTGAAATCAAAATCGGATTTTCGATTAATTGTACAGCCCTATATAATTGTGGAGCATTTTTTGCCTTTTTCTACCTCTACACTTATCCTCTCCCGCGCCCCCCTTGTGAACTTTGGCGGCCCCCTTAGGGGGGCGCCGACCCCAGGTTGGGAACCACTGTACTAGAAGGTAGGGTTAGGGGTGGGGTTGAGGGGGAGGGGAGTGGTGGTGGTGAAGATCCAATAGACCAATCACAACACAGCAGGTTCATCTGACCAATCACAGTAGAATAGACTCATGAAAAAGCAAGAAGTTTAGAGGGCCAGAGGCTGCACGTCAGTCTCATCTGCATCTCAAACTGCATCCAGATGCATACTTCCCTACTATATGGTACGTGAGCTCAGTAGTATGCCAGAAATCCTAGTATTTGAAAAACAGTAGGCGAGAAGTACCCAGATGACCTACTACTTCCAATAGTACCTGGATGCAGCCTTTATGTAGCAAGCTGAGATTGCATCACTCAGCGATGCAATGTCAGACACAATGCACTCAGATGGAGGTAGTGACGTCACTGTGAAGGTTAGGGGTGGGGTTAGGTGAGCGCATTAAAAAGCATTGGATGCAGCTTAGGGCCTACTCACACTATGCCATCCGTACCGTGCCCAGGCCCGTTTCCCGGATCGTTTGAGAAGTGTGAGTGCGCTGAATCGGGCTCAAGCACGGTTCACTTGGCCGGCCCTGGCCCGGTTGGAAGAGGTGTGCCTGAGCGCGATTCACTTGGGCTTTGGCGCGGTACGCTTGTGTGTGAGTGCAAAACGCGCCAAAGCCCGAAACTGAAAGCGAGACGTGACTTTTAAGGGGCTGTTTTATATGGATTTATTAATCATTCTTACTGTTATGTGAACGCAAACTGCCGTAGTTTATTAAAGACGAGAACTCTTCACAGCACGACAGCTGCGCTGCTTCAGCAGACCTCCTCATTCCTGCAGCACAAGAGCTTTATGATTGTTTATGAGCGCCAAAAGTGGCGGATCTGTTTGGCAAGATATCTGACTGCGTGTCACCGCATCCCTAAGGACTGTTTGGCGAAATATTTGACTGCATGTTAATGCATAACAAACGACTGATACGATATAACTAGAGAAATCTCCACTTTGCAGCTGAGTGACAGCGCTTCTCACTGAACAGAGCAGCAGCGATGACGTAAGCGTGCCGAGGCCTGTTTGTGGTGTGAGTGCAGGCCATCGGGGGAGACGGGAGGGGGGACAAGCGTGCTTTGGCTCGGTTTGAGGCAACTGTAACTAGTGTGAGTATGGCCTCAGATTGCAATGCACTAGGTCTGCATCCAGACCCATCTCACTACTTCTGCTTACTTCTACTTCTGACTCTGTACTGCGCATATATTGGATGCTAGGCTATCACATGAGAGATGCCCAGTGATATCCTTGCTGTTCTCTTTGTGTTGCTATTGTAATCAGATATACAGTAATTAGGGTAAAATATGTAGAAAGGGCAGATATTTGCATACCTGGTTTGGATCTGTTGAAGCAGGAATTCCAGTGACTGGAGGCTGCAAAACTGTAAAATGTCCATAGAAAATATGATGGTGTTTCTAACTCACCAGCACCTCACTGTTGATTTTGATGTGTGTAGATGAACTTACATCTAGATTTCATATCTGACCTTTTCCTGCATAGATAGGCTAAGGCCACAACAACACAAAACCCCAGCAGCGCAATAACAACTGCACAAACCACAGGCACTCCACCTAAAATAAAAATAGAAAACCAGAACAGTATTAGTAAGATTGAAGCAGCACATTCACCTTTTCAGTTTAGCTCTTTACATATATTCCTTCATTCATTTTCTTGTCAGCTTAGTCCCTTTATTAATCCGGGGTCGCCACAGCGGAATGAACCGCCAACTTATTCAGCAAGTTTTTACGCAGCGGATGCCCTTCCAGCCGCAATTCATCTCTGGGAAACATCCACACACACATTCACACACACACTCATACACTACGGACAATTTAGCCTACCCAATTCACCTGTACCACATGTCTTCGGGAAACCGGAGCACCCGGAAGAAACCGATGCGAACGCAGGTAAAAATTGCAAACTCCACACAGAAACGCTAACTGAGCCTAGGCTCGAACCAGCGACCCAGCGACCTTTCTTGCTGTGAGGTGACAGCACTACCTACTGCTTCGCCCCCTCTTTACATATAGAACAAAAATGCAATGCTGAATAAACTAATTTCAACTTTTCTTAAAATACAGGTAAACAAAATACAATACCAAGGGTTTCTTCAACGTTTGATATATGTTTGGTTGTCTGGGTTGTTAGTGAGGACGGCTCATCTGTATTAACACCATCTAAGAGATGAAAAGTGAAAGAAAAGAAAAAAAAAGTTAGCGATTTTACAAGCTGTTTTAAAAGAGATGACTGGTTTACTGAATGTATATCTACCTGTAGATGTGAGTGTTGTTGTATGAGTGTTAGATGTTATAAGTGTGTTTTCAGTGGTGTGTGAAGGTCTGCTCACAGGAGCTGCTGAAACAAAACAGGAAATTTAAGATTATAAAAATGTTGTGTGAAGCTATGTGGAATTATTTAAAAATAAAAGCCAATAGTGTCTGTATATCATATCATATTAATTACCCACCTGGAGTGACAGTCAAATGAACCTTCATCAGTTTGTCATAGAACCATTGATCAATTCCACAGTAATAAACACCAGTGTCTGTGAGTCTGAGCTTTCTGATGGTTACAGTAAAGAACCGTTCATTCACACTACTAAACAAAGAGTATCTTTCAGTTGTGAAGACCTGATCAACTTTTTCAGTTTTAATCAAAACATTTTTACAGGGTTCACGGCAGAAGTACTTGGATGTATAAATGTGTTTATCTGGATATGAACATCTGATCTCCACCTCTCCACCTTCTCTTCCGACATACACATCTCCAGACTTCATCAACACTTCAGTCAAAACTAGAAATAAAACACAGTAAAACTTTGATGAACTCAATATGTGTTAAACTGACAAATCTTTCACACAAAAACATTTTTAAAAAGATCTGTTAAACTGTAAATATTGAAGAGACCCTCTTCCTTGAATTATCGTATAGTTCAGGCAAGACAGAAACAAATATACATCTGATGTAAACATGATTTAATGCTTTATTACAAGTTAAAAGTGCTATTATAGATCTTGAGAATATTTCTCTTCAAAGGTCACTAAAAGTTCACATATTTTAACACACACACGTTTACCTTACAGGATTCACGATTATAAATCAAGAAGGAAAATTAATCATATTTACCTGCAAGAAGAGACATAAAACTTAGATGGGGCTTCATTCTCTCTGTAGTCTCACGTCCTATTCAAGCAAGACATTCTCTTTACTATAAAATTACACAATTGTAAGTGAAGGGAGAGAGAGACCTCTACTTTCGAATAAACAAACCAATCACAGATTAGCAGCGGGACTGCCATGTCTATCAACTGCACGTTATAAGTCAGGAAGGAAATGGTCAGAACAGAAGTGGTGATGACACCTTCTGTAACTGAGTTTTACAAAAAGATATTTGATTATACAAGCTTATAGCACAAAGAGAGATAAAATAAGCCAGAAGACATCCAATTTATTACTTCCTTGCAATGAAAACAATAGTTGTTTATTTATCTTTATGTAAATACTTTGATTGCTGATATCTGCATTGTTCGTTCATTCATCCATTCATTACAAAGCCATATATATTGTGTTGCTGTAAATTGACGTATTCTAACTTCAGTTTTTTCCTTTTTTTTTTTTTTTTTAGCACTGAAACATAGACCTACTGGAACACCTGATACAGATCAATCGTCTACTCCTATAGAGAAATTACTCACAAACTGTGCTGCTATAGTCCACGAAAACAGTACATGACAAAAAAAAATCAAAGTACTTTATCTTTACGTCTTCCAGCGAGACTTTGAAGTGCGCATCTCTTTGACACTTTTGTGATTAGCAGTGAAGGACACATGACATTGGCAACATGGTAAAAGTAGTGTGTCCACCTGTTCCTCTTTCGCCATCTGTAGGTGAGGTTCACGAATTGCGCCTGTTTTTTGATTGACACTGTAAGTCCCCGTAAGTCAGAAATGTCTTATGCATTGCAGAGTAAACAACAACAACAAACGCCATTTCATGTGTTGATTCGAGCTTATGTAGAGATTTTAACCCTATAAGCCCCTGTACTCTAATTAAAACTCAAAACCCATTGTGTCTGGTTGTTTGTTGAGGTTTATTGAACTACTGTAACATTAAAGATGGATCAAGTCTAAGGCAATTTCCATTTTTACAATCAACATAGTTCTAAAGTGACATTTTTAATGTATCACACATAAACTTGATTTGCAGGATACATAATAAATGTTGCTCAAAAATGTGAGATTTTTTGCTTTATTCTCTGCATACACTATAATTCATTAATGCATTTAAATACACTGACTGACATTTCTGTTTAATGCAACATTTAACTGATTAAAGATGTGCTGCAGAAAGCATGAGATCATGAACCTTCAGCTGAAAATGTTATGGCATGATATTTGCAAATTGATGAGTGGAGATGCTACAAGACACATCGTAGAAGATAAAAGTATCTTAAAGTATGCCAGAATTCTAAAATGAAATGGCTATTATATTTCAATTACCCATTCCAAAAAAAGTTTTTTTTTTGATTTGGCCTTTGACATTTCCTATCAGTCCAGGGATAATCACACTAATATGGTAAAGCCTCACACCTCAGATGTTTACATATCATGTGTCTAAAGTGTCTGAATGTCTGAGCATGTAGAGAAGGGATCTCATCTTGACGATTCAGTGACTCCTCCATCATAACAGAGCTCTGGAAGACTGCAGGTGAATCTGAATCAGACACACGTGCACTGGACAGATGTTATCTCAACCGCTTGGGAATCTCAACCTGTGAGGAAGATTGGAAAGAAATTCAAGGCATTTATAATATACTGAAGTGAAAAAATATTGAATATTAAAAAAATGTGAGACAGTGCTACAGCCAATTCAGTGAATGGGGATGATTGGGAGGCTATGATGGGTAAGGGCTAATGGAGGTAACCTGGGTTACAACCCTACCCTTTATGAGAAGTGGATATGACCACAGATAGTGAGGACCTTGGTTTAATGTCTCATCCAGTGGCGTAGCGCCAAATGCGGAGGCCCCCCTGCAGGGATCACCGACGGGGCCCCCAGTTGAAGGCGGGGGGGGGGGGGGGGTGGAGAGATTGGGGGGGGATATACACATAGATATAGATATACACATATATCTATGATCGGGAGTTTTCCTGGATGTTAGTATGCATTTTTTTTTAATATGAAAATTTTTATTTGACATCACTTTTCTACATTGATGGATCACTTATCGCACGGGCATTCCTGACAAAAGCTTGTGTTTGTGTGTATGAAAATGTACTATTTACTCTCCCTGTTAAATTTGATCTAATCATGTGCTGAAATACAGCTCCTCTCCTGCTTTCACTTCTCATACTGATGGAGGGAGCGATTCGTTTGTGAATGAATCTCCGTTATGAACGACTCGTTCGCTAGCCGACAATAATACAATTTTCTGGCAGCGCAGCATCTCTTTGTCGTATTTCTTTTGCATTGTTTGCTGATTTATTCAACAAACCTAGCATAAGCCGAGTATTTAGTGCGAGTTGGTGCTACTTTGCCTTATGGTGAATGCAGTAAGTGACTATAGATATTATTATCAATAACGTGACCTGTTAGCACAAATTTCAAAACATACAAAAACGTAAAAAACTTAATCCTATGAAATGTTCTGCCTTTGTGCTTTATTTTCTTTGTTTGCTCGTTACTACACCCGTAGACAGCGATAAAGTCCCGCATCTTCACGTAATAACACTGTCTTGACTAGTGCGGTTGAATGACATTTGTCCTGGGAGCACTGTACCAATGTGGCGGCGCTATAGACGCATGCTCAGGGTCCCCATGCGATATCTAGTGTATATATCTATGTCACAAATTGAGGAGCGGGGAAAGGAGGCAGAGTGGCGTGTCAACACGGGGAATCCTTCACAAACTGAGGAGCGATCACAAACCGAAAGTGGCGAGAGCGTCAAAGTAGCCAGAAGTCATTCATTTTTTAACGAGAACCGGCGGCGAGAAACAGCGGCGTGTCTTCATTGGCCATGACGCGGTTCGGCGGCAAGCAATCAGAATGAAGTAGTCCACCGCTTGAGCGGAGTTCAGAGAACACAGACCTGTAAACTTTGGTTCCGACCACAGTTGTTCCCAAGAGTTTGATTATTGCGATTCCTGGATTTTCAATTATTAAAAATCGCGACGACGTGGGGCCCCCTAATCACGCGGGGCCCCCCCGCGGTGCGGGCCCTGCGGGCCCGTCCGCTACGCCACTGGTCTCATCCGAAAGATTATTACTCTGAATTCAGTACTGCATATAGACAGAATTTTTTTTAACTGTTAAGGGGGTCGCACTGGATATGGCGCTCAGTGTCGCGCCACACATCGCTATGCATTTTAGAATTCTAAACAGATTTCTATCAGGGTACTCGCACCGCAAGTTGGCGGCTGTCTGCGGTGCCCAGCCAAAACTCAGGACACTGTTCATATTTCTGCTGCACCACAGAACGCCATCTAAGTAGTTTCATTTTAAATAACATGCAAATGTGAGTGTCTGGTGTTCAATACTTTCAACTGTTATGTGTGTGCCGTGTTACGGCGCCAAGCAGCACAACCGGTGTGCAACCTGCTTTAGAGAGTGCAAGTTATTTTTAGGGGTCTTTAACATTTTAGTTGACAGGACCGTTGCCGTATGACAGAATTTTGCATGCTCAAACTCTAGTGTGACCGCAGCATTAGTAAGATCTAAAGAAGCACTTGTTGGGCTGGTCGAATAATTAAAAAGTAATGGAAATCGACATTCAGAACCTATAATTGTTCTAATTTTTCCAGGTCAATTTTTTAAATTACTTTCCCTACCACATGTGGACTCATGTGACCCTGCTCTGTTAAGTCTGATTTATACTTCTGCATCAAGTGCACACATATGGTCCAGCACAGCCTTTGTGCGATTGCATACCTGCGCATCTCTCAAAAAAATTAACTACATGTCACGATGAGTTAAAATGTTCAATTAATCGAGATTTAGATTTTAGGGCAAATCGCCCAGCCCTAAGCACCTGCTAATTAAAGTCAGGAATGTTTGATCAAGGTTGCAGCTTGGGCAACCCTGCAATTGGTGCTGACCAGAGTGTAGTTTGAACTTGTGAACGTGTTTTAAATGTTAGTTTTAGTAAATTTGTAAAACACAATTCACATTTAGAAGAAATAAACATCCAAAGCTTGCAGTCAGTCACTTTCGCCTAATTGGATAAACTTTTTTTTTTACGTCACCTCATACTTCAGTTTCTCATCAAATCTTCTGACCAATCAAATGCTCTTTAGTATCTGACATGTCCTGTCCCCTTTAAGACGTTTGAGCTTTTGACCTCACTGCTGGCAGAGCTGTGATAAAACGAAATGCTATTGGCTGACTCTTAAAAAGGGGAAGCCTCTATGTTCTGCCCTGTCTTAATTTTTTCAGGTAAGGTCCTCCCACATCAAATAAAAACGCATACTTCGAAGCACTTAATGAGACATTTAATAACATAATGCTCTAGATTTTTTCTTTGTTCTTATTAGGAGTGGGATGTGCAGCAACATCTATAACGTGAGATTCACATCACTTGCCTTCTTGAGAGCATTCATGCTGCAGTTTCTGATAGAGTCCAGGAGCTGATCTCTGGAGCTCCTGTCTGTCTGTCGGACAGCTGTACTGCCATCTGGTTTCCTCTGAGAGACTGGGGTCAAAGACCTCCTTAGTGCCTGAACATCTAATGCTGGACCTGGAGGAGGGGGAGGAGGAGGAGGGGCTTGCCCACATCCTGTTGCACCTTTTTTGCTTCCTGTTACCTCAGTGGTGAGGAGTTTAGACAGTGGCTTTGTCGGCGAAGCTTTGGAATTTTCTTGAGCAGAGGTGAATTTTGATAGGGAAGCAAATTTAGAGTCTTTCTTTGGAGTGGACAATGTTTTTGAGTTAGCTTTATTAGTTGAGCTCTTATTTTCTTCACGTGCAGTGGAGTTGATCTCATGTCCGGCGAGTTTTTGCGCTTCTAATCGCTGCTGCCGTTTCCTGTCCATGTTTCGGCTCAAGATGTTTGTCATGGCCATCCTCGGCCCGGCTAACTCAAAGTGATATCCCAACTTCAGCAGGGAAGAGTTGTCACGTAAGACTTTGGCCATCTCCATCTCAGTCTTCCCTCCGCAGATGTGTCTCTGGTTATGAAACCTCAGCTCCATCAGTGCGCTGTTGTGTTGAAGAGAGTTGATGATGGCCAGGATGCCCTTGCCTGTCAGATGATTAGAGTCGAGGTTGATGCCGGTCAGGGTTGAGTTTTCTCGCAATGTTTTAGCGATGGCGAATGCGACATGATCATCCGCTCTTGTGTTTGCAAGGCAGAAGGTTTTGATGTGAGTGTTACTGCGAAGACCCTCTGCAAACTGAATCAGGGTATCTGTTTTAATGGCATCTGAATTGTTGACGTTGACCTCAGTTAGTTCAGGATCGTCACTGCGAACCTGCTCTAGAAGATCGTCAAACATGCTGGAGCCAGTGTCACTGTCCAGATCTTCACTATAAGACTCATCCTCCTCAGTAGTAAGTGAACAGGTGTCCGCTCCATGACAGTTCCCTGAGCTTTCATGGAAAGAACTGGTAAAAATCTTGGCCTTGCTGTTTTCTGGTGCTTTCACTTGTTCTCTCTCCTTTTGAGGTCTGGTTTTATCCAAACTTGTTTCTTCAACTGTACTAAATCTGCTGTTTTTGTCGTCTTTTTCTGCATCTATTAAGTTTACTCGTCCTGCTTTGTTGTTTTTGGGTACCTCTGAAGCTTTAGTTCTGCTTCCATCTTGCTGTTTGACGTCCGTCTTTTTGTCCTTTTTTTCCTCAGTCACTTTATTCCCCTGAAGTTTGGAGACAACCCCTCGTATTTTGGAGTTTTCGTTCACTTTCTTGTCATCCTTCCTCCCTCTGTCTTTCTTCTCCTCTTGTTTCTCTTGCAGTTTGGAGATGAGGTCTAGAGTTTTGCTGCCACCTTTCTCTTTCCTAGAAAGTTCTTTGCCACTTTCCATCTTATCACCTGTTCTCTTTTCCTCCCGTTTATTCTTTCCCTCATCAGATAAATCTTTAGAGTCATCCTCCCATTTTCTCGTTCTCTCCTTATCTTTTTCACTTTCAGCATTTCTGCTCTCTGTGTCCGGAGGATCGCCGCTCTGTGATCTGGAAAACTCTCTGCTCCTCATCCGGCGAAGTCGCTCTCTCCTTCTTCCATCCCCTCCCTACAAACAGACACATTATTCACAAAGGTACTTGACTGTTTGTCTTTTGATAGTTTGCTTATCTGATTTTGGCTAATCTAGGTCTGATCTTTGACATTGTATTTACATTTAATTTCAGTTCACTTTTGCTGTCATTTTAGTGTAATTATAGATAAATATCAAGATTGTCATTAAATACACAGGTCTTCATGACTGGACCCAGTTGAACTGAGTGAGTTATTTTTGGTGGTCATTAAAAGGGAATGAACGTACTGTGTAGATGTGTGTGCTATTGTTTGAAGAAGTCTTAAAACTCTCAGATGTGCCCTTATAAGGCAGCAAAGGGAGGAACATTCAGGTCTGGTATGCTGTACGTGACAGCTCCAAAACCTCACCGAGGCCAGGCTTAAAGTAAAAACAATCACAAATCGCTCAAGTGCATCGCTCTTAACTACTGAAAAACTACCAGAATGTAAATTTATTCTCAAGATGTTTTGCTGAATACATGTGGAAGTGACTGGCCAGTTAGCATGATTACACAGCCAACATAATGTAGCAGCTAAACAAATTTTGCAGTCAATGTGATCAGATTATTTTGTTTTTAAATTAGTATTGATTCAAAAATACTATAAAAGATAATTACTGATTATACAAAGCACAATGTTACTTAGTATGTTGGGTACTTTATTTGTGTGTTCTCTAACCTGCCCTTTAAAACAAGCCTGTCTGTGTCTCAATAGAGTTTAAAAGTAGTTTGAGGCCCCTTGTGTGAGTCTCGCATTACTAGAGCTTCATTAGCACCTGTTTAATCACATTAAACACAACTCGCACTCTCCAGAAAACACAAGGAAGACTGTCCCAGAAGAGCCAGACCACCTGTTCTGTTCTGTTACTATATTATTCAGATTTTTGCAGCACACTGTCAGAAAACCCAACTGAGGTGGATTAAAGACTGAACAAATACAGCAGCTCTGATGTTAAAGGTTAGTTCTGCATAGTTTATATGGAGTGCCAACTAACCACTGCTTGCCTCAAAGGAGAGAGTATCTTGTGTTTATACCAGACCACAATAAACCAAACCATGACACTAAATGTTTATAATGACATTTGGCTGTACAGCAGAATTACACTGTTAAAGATTTTTTTTTACCCAGGAGAAGTTTACACTGTTTTCAAACAGAAAAGAGTGAAAAATATTGATACCTAGAGACATTTCTCTTGAAGTAACTGTATAGAGTAGGATTATTTAGGAGATTTGTTGTTGGAAAAAGGCTTGACGCACACTTGGAAGCACACAGTGTTTTGTAACTGTGCAGCACAAGCTCCAAAGCAAAGAAAAACTTCATCACCGTCAGACAACATTATAGGCCATTAGAGTCCCGCGAGTACAGCAAAACGGCTGTTGATTCATGGGAACTAACAGCATGTCAGGCATGCAGGCCACACAGGCTAACAGGGATCTTAGTGCTAAAGCAACAATTTACAGTCTACAAATCCACAAATATGTAACACTATGATGAGATCTTAAACAGAAACTGAATGACAGATGAACACATGTCAGCTCTTCACTCTTCATTCCCCTGCAATGAAACTCTCTAAACTAAGAGCAAACCATTCCCAATGGAGGAAATTAATCCACCTCTTAATGTATTTTGTAATTCTAGATTAGTTGAAAATTTGAAACTTTCCTGAGGTGAGTTTTAAAATGTGTTAAATTATTAAAGATAAATAATTGATGCAGTGTTTAAAACATAAAGGATATAGATTATTACCTATATTGATTATATACAGCTATATTATAATCAATATAATCATTACTAGGCTAGATAATAACTACTATAAGTCTGTAACGTTAAGTGTTTTGAAGATTTAAAGGTTTTGTTAATGGATTGAAAACAGATTTGACTAAGAAGTCAATAGGGAAAGCTGTTGTAATTAACAACAAGTGATTATGAACTACATTAATAGTAGCTATATTTTTAAAACGGAATAAGTAATAATACTGTTTTATCACATTGATGTTAATATTCATATTACTGTTGTTAATATTATTATTTATATCATCATCATCACCTCTGCGCTCAGTTCTCTCCGGATCAGTTTCTTGGTTTGGCGCTCGCAGTAGTCTAGCATCGCTTCTCTGTCATATCCTCTGGACGGGAGTTTGTCCGTCTGGTTCCTCTGGCGGAGTCCCACAGGTACTGTCGGGTCGGGGTCGATATAAACGAGTTCACGCTCGAGCTTCTCCACTTCCTCCGGCGAAAGCGCCGCGAGCAGCAGGTCTGTGTCCGAGTCATCATCGCTCTCCTGTCGCTCCCGGGCCGTGCGTCTGGACATTTTATCCAAAATGTTAAAAGCTTACAAACAAAACTGTTTTTATTATATGGAAATGCTGAAATAGTTTTAATAGTTGTTGTTGTCGTCTCAAAATGTATCTATATCCATGATAAAACTCAAAAAGAGTTTCTCTCGGGCTCAGAGTCAAGCGCGAGCACCAGGGCGCATTCCGCAGAATCTAGCACATGGGCGCGAACCCGTACAGCTCGTGCACACGCACTGATTTCAGTAACAGATGATCCACAAGTTTGCAGGACCGCAGCTTAAGGTCGTTTTTCACAAGGCTTCAATAAATTGGATCTCATAATCCTTCCACATTTTAGATACAATCATGAACATTTCCCTTGCCATAGTTTGCCACAACATGGGAGTGTTTTACTGAATAAAATAATTCGCAAAACTATCTAACTAACTAACTTTTTTAAAAACTATCTAACTTTTTGCAGTTATTCGCCTTATTTTCTATTTAATTATGAGGCTTAAATACTCCATTTAGTGACATTTAAGCACTATTTTAGTGCTTAAAACACCAAAAATATTTTTAGCCTTTTGTCATTTATTATGGAAATAACTAGCGTGCCAGTACATTTAATTTTTTTCTTAGTCAGAATTTGGCCATTTAAATAATAATAATAATAATAATAATAATAAAAACGTCGAGCGTCACAATCTCTTTAGCCTGTCTTCGAAGTACTTTTCAAAGTTGATTTGAAGATTCATGGATAACAGCCTAATTAGTATTAAAATTAACTTTAATATGGGCCACTTTTGGTGCATTGCACCTTTTCATTGGTCATTTTTCTTTCAAGAATCAGGACCAAGATTTAGATTTAAGTTACTTGTAAAATGTTTTATGTTTTTAACAACAATACAGTAGGTCAGTAGTGAAAATTGACTTCACTTATGTCAGATTCTGCATGATCTGAAAGCCTTTGATAAGTTACCTCTACAATTTATGATGGTGTAGCAGTCAAAATAGGACAACAGCTCATGCATGGGGCAAATTCTGGACCTTTGGCATTGTGGGGTGGGTCTTTCGAACCACCCATGGGAATGGGCCTTGGATTGCAGGTTTCATTTAAACACAAATAGTGATATTAAATGTTCTCAAAGAACTTGCTGAGTTACTGTGCATTCATTTCAATATCAATACAGATAACAGCAATATAAACAATGTACAGGTTTTTGAATTCTAAATGTAACTCTAGAACTGTAGACACTGTATAAATAAAATATTTTAATGTCAGGAATAATCTTGCCTGTGTTTCAATGTTTAGCGTGGTCACATAAAGACAGATTGGTTTGAATGAGGTTATTTAATTGACTGAACTCTTAGTTTGGGTATTTTATACTTATTTTTATATACTTGATTGCATTTTTATGCCTTGTCTATTCTTAAAATCCTTAAAAGATTTTAACAATGGCTGAAAATTAACAGAATAGAGCTGAACTATGATTCAAAATAGTGAAAAAGAAAAAAATGGCCAGTTACTGAACTTAAGTGTACTACATCTGCTAAATCAGGGGTCTCAATTTGCAGCCCCCCTCTTCCTCCCTCCTAATAATAATTATTATTATTATGCATATTATTAAATTGTAGTATTTTCATAGCAATTTAAACTACTCTTTCTACATGTACAACAAAAAACAAAAAGGAGCTTTGATACTCTAGGGAAGAATGTCTGACTGCATCAGTTACATCAAGTTTCCACTTTTTGGTGTGCTAGAATATGGCCCCCTGCCAATTTGACTTTGAGACCCCTGTGCTAAATAAATAAACAAAATGACAGGTTTAAAATGACACCGAGTTCAATTTAAGGTCAAGCTAAAATTCATAACTAAAATGACTAAAACTAAAATTGAAAAAGTAAAAAAAATATGTAAGTAATTAAAGAAAAATCTATAAATAGTACATTCTAAAGACTAGAAATAGGCTGGTCTGTGATCAATCCGATGCACCACAACAACAGAGGTGATTAAATAAAGAAGAGAAGAGGCTCTTACTGATATTAGAACAAAGAGTTTTATTCCACACTATAAATTGGGACTTTTTTTTTTTTTAACAAGCTAATCAAACCCCAAACCCCATCACCCCCACCCTCACCCTTCAGAACGGCTTGAGCAGGTTTTGTGGCAGTTCATTACACTCTTCTGTCTGCTACAAGTATGACGTGTGTATGTGTGTGTGTCCATTACATATCCTGAATATCTGACCACCATCTCTAAAAATCCCCAACACAACTGAGACCGCCGAAACCTCCAGAAACGTACAAACGACATTATTGCTCCGATAAATAAAACTAATCTACAAAAAAGGAAATAAAACGACACAACGGAGAAAATCCCAGATGCATGATGTGTACTGAAACGGCCATAGTTTCCAAAAAAATAATCTCTCTGTATTTATTCTTTATTGTATTTGGTGAAAACTGTCGGTTTGTCCTGTGCCGGGGCGTTTCCGGTCGTGCATGCAGAAGAGACGACCTTTCCAGAGCGTCACTCCTCCACGCCAGAAAACAACCCCAACACAAACCCCATGCACCGCTATATTCATTCAGCATTGAGCATATTTAGCATTGATTTAGACGATCACAAACAGTTCCACAGAAGGAGAAGATCTGTAAAAATACAAAAAAAGGTGACCAAAGAGTATCATTCAGGACAGAGTCCAACAAAAAGAGTAAAATAGCACCGTTGTTACAAAGGTCAGAGGTCATAGGTTAGGGAACGGGAGGGGTCAGTTACACATCCGAGAAAAGCGGAGGGGTGGGAGAACGTCTCACTTCCGGCGGTCCATGTGACTTGTGCTGCAGCTCACACACATGTAATCCTCCTCGGCTGCCAGTTCTGCTGAGACTCCCACACAAATCATATGAAACCAGCGGTTACAGCAATCACACTGCACCCAGTCCACCTGAAACACAGGAGGAACAAAAGTCACAAACACATTTCAGAGGGTATGCTGGGGTTTCCTACCAAATGTTATATTTTAGCAGACCTACACCGATAAAATTAGTACTGTATGAGCGAGATAGAGCTACGCCTGCGGTAACACACTAAACCAGGTCAGCCACAATAGCCAAGTGGTTAGTGGACATAGCCATAACAGACAATCTATCAGAGCACTCTACTTCACGATAGATGTTGATGGCTGATGCCTATTCTACATGCTGTTACGCCTGATTCACAGGAAGGTTCAGCGACAAAACGCTTGACAGAGGGTTTGTCTTAAGTTGGGGCTGACGCGATAGTCATAGTAGCATCAGTGAAATAGCAGCAATGAAAGTAGACAGCAATCGGCTACTGTCTGAGATGGTATATTTACATACATCGATCTGATTGGTTGACGCTTCCATTGAAGGTTTTGAAAAGTTTCGAATTTCCCAACTTCTGCAGTGATCAACGCCACTGAAGTGACGCTGATGGATCCACAATTGAGTTCGGCAATGCTTGACATCACCCATTCGAAGTGAATGGGAAGCGGTGACGCCGACACCCCATGGGAATGGGCCATTAGGGATGCAATGATTATAGATTTTGGTTGTATGACTATAGTCAGAGGAATAGTCACCGTTCACACGATTTATGTGCATTCATTCATTTCAAAACGCTACTAACTTCTTATATTTTAAAGTGTTATTTATTGCTGCTCAGTAACCAAATAATATGGCACAAAATAATATGAAAAAATAATAAAACAATAGTCCATTCTTTTTTGGACTTCATGTTGTATTTTTTGTCTTTGGAGTAGAAAAGTGTTTATTCCATACAAAGTATAAAATATGCATCCGCAAGCTGTATGCCAAGATTAGAAATAACCAACCTGCGCATTAAACGTGATGAATTAAAGCACAGTTAATAGTGAAATCGGTTAATCGCTGCATACCTACAGTTGATGTCAGAATTATTAAACCCAGGGGTTATTAGCCCCTGTTTATTTTTTCTCCGTTTATTTTTTTAAACATAATAGTTTTAATAACTCATTTCTAATAACTGATTTCTTTTATCTTTGCCATTATGACAGTAAAAATTATTTGAATATATATTTTTCAAGACACTTCTATACAGCTTAAAGTGACATTTAAAGGCTTAACTACGTTAATTAGGTTAACTAGGCAGGATAGGGTAATTAGGCAAGTTATTGTATAATGATGGTTTGTTAAAGAGGCTAAAAATGTTGACCTTAAAACATTTTAAAATAATTAAAAACTGTTTTTATTCTAGTCAAAATAAAACAAATAAGAAAAAATATCAGAAATACTGGGAAAATTTCCTTGCATAATTTGTGAAATATTTAAAAATGAGAAAGGGGGCTTATAATTCTGACTTCGACTGTACATGCTGTATCAGGCATAAACATGAGCCCCATGAGTGGCGAAACACATTAAACGCTCAGATGGCACTGCCCAACAGCCATCCATGAGCCTAGTGCATCTCAGCATTAAACTATAAAAATTACTTAAAAGAAACACAACTTAATTAGGTAAAACTCTGAGTTTAAACTGTAAATTCACTTTTACATTTCAAGCATTATAACAATATGGGTCTATTTTAAAGGTGGACTGAATAAAAACATCTGATGGGCTGAATGGACATTGAAATTAATTCTTTGCCAGTAGGTGGCACTTATGAAATTAGAAAAATATAGGCAAATTCCAAACAGGGGCGGCATGGTGGCTGAGTGGTTAGCACTATCACCTCACAGCAAGAACGTCGCTGAGCCAGTCGGCATTTCTGTATGGAGTTTGCATGTCCTCGCCGTATTCGACTCTGGGTGTCCTGTTTGCCCCACAGTCCATAGACATGCGCTATAGGTGAATTAGGGTAAACAAAATTGGCCAGTGTACAAGTGTGTGTGTAAATGAGTGTGTATGGTTGTTTCCCAGTACTGTGTTGCAGCTTAAAGAGTGTCTGCTGTGTAAAACATATGCCGGAATAGTTGGCGGTTCATTCCACTATGGCGACCCCTAATAAATAAGGGACTGAGCTGAAGGAAAATGAAGAAACGAATAAATTCGAAAATGTATTTGCGTCCCAAATGATAACCTATGCCATTGGTACTCAATCATGTTCCTGGAGATCGACCTTCCTGCAATGTTCAGCTCCAACCCTGATCAAACACACCTGAACCAGTTAATTAGGACCTAAATAGCACTTGATAATTACAGGCAGGTGTGTTTGATATGGGTTGCAACTGAAATCTGCAGGAATGTAGATCTCCAGGAACAAAGTTGGTCAAGCCTGCCCTATTTACTTGTGGTTAAGTTTGTCATCCCAAATGGAACACTAAGGCTACGTTCACACTGCAGGCAAATTTGGCCCAAATCGGATTTTTTTTTCCCCTCATGTGACACAGGTGATGACAGTGTGAACAGCCCAAACCGCATGGAATCTGATTTTTTCAGGTCAGATCTGTGCCACTTTCATATGTGGTCTTAAATCAGACACAGATCTGATGTTTTGCAATGTGACCGGTCATGTCGGATTTCATGTGACTTTTACATAATCTTTGAGCGACATGCGTCATTATTCTGTGCTGCAGACATCTACCCCTCAGCAGCACAATAGAATAGCACACAGGGAGATTACAGTACCACAGAAAGTTGGTTGTTCATGTTGAAAAAGATTTTGAAGGCATAACAGGTGCTTGTCAACTAATCTGGTTAACCATTGAGGCACGGGTTGATCGCGAAGCCGAAAAGCGTCGTGGGTGTTGTGGATAGGGGATTCGGGTGCAAAGGAGGAAGAACTCTCTCCGAGAGAAAAAAAGGGCAGATGCTCGAGCACCCAAACCGCCCTTCTGCATAGGTCTACTGTTTATAATGAAGTAAAATAAATGACTCCTCAAACGGAGATAAACCAAATCCGCCTTCACAGTTTAGTCTGCGGCTGCTTATTAACCTTTGATGAGTTCACTACACCGGTTATCAGATCGCCACGCACAGCGCTTGTCATAAATCACAAACGATCAGTTTTTTTTATTATCACAGGAGACTAATTTAAGGTCTCAAATGCCGAAATACACATTCGTAGTAGCAGAACAATCATTTACAGTTCATGAATTACACCACGGTTGTCTGTGAAAAGCGTAATAATCATATAAGCATGATCTGACAACGTGCTTACTCATGCAGCACACGTGTGTGTGCATAACTAGACATTTTGTGCTCTCCTTAATGCACTTTTGCGCATGCGGGTCAGTTTAGGACCATGATCTGTTCACACTGCAAATCTGATATTGGCCCTTCTAACAAAGGGAACAGAGTCTTTTTGTCCAGTCGCTCACCTCTTCTCCCTCAGGCTGGAGACAGCTCTCTGCAGGACACAGAGTCATGTCCTCCTCTGAGTCTTCTGACTGAGACATGTCTGACGCAGAGACTGACGCTGCTTTCCTCTCTCTCCGCTTCTCCACACCCATCATCCTCTGCTTCTTGCTTTTCAGCTTCGTCCCTCTTTCCCTGATATCCACCTCGTCTCGGTTCATTCGCCGCTTGGCTTTCTTTTCTGCTGAAGTGATTGCATCTGTCTGTAGAGGGCACGCAGTAGAATTAATACAAATACATTTCTTACAAAAGGTTATTTTAACCATGGTCAGTACTAGGGATGTCCAAATCCAATCACGTGATTGGAAATTGGGCCCGATCACGCTTTCAGGCAAAATCGGAATCGGATTTTACCTCCCGGTTAGGGCTCGAATATATATGTGTACATACAATCGAGTCCTATATATATATATACATATATATATTCTCTCATTATTGTTAACACATCTATAGTTACGCGATAGCACAGAGTTAGACCTCTTTCTTGACTTCACACAAAAACATCAATGCATGTGTCATGACATGACTTTGTTTTAGAGATGCTATTGTGTAAACACCAGCAAAGTAAAACACAGAAGCAGCTTGAAGCGGAAAGGGAGAGTATGTCTGCAGTCTGGAGGTGTTATAAAGTTGATGACGACAACATTGCCATAGCAAACTGCGAGATATGAAACTTGGGATTGCCTGCCAGGTATTTTAAGTTGTCTTGCTTTCTGATTTTATATTAGATATTTTAATATTTACTAATGCACTAAAGTCTAAAGGTGAAGACTTGATGTTAATTATTACTTGATTGTTCAAGCTACCTCACAGAAGTGTTTGTTAACAGTTACGGTAAATTAAATAAATTTTTTTTTTAAATTTCAGTAGAAACTCAAAATCAAATGACTCTGAGGCTAAAAAAAAAAACTGATCAGGACATCCCTAGTCAGTACTGTTGGTGTACTACTGAGGCCAAAAAGACTTTTTTAGATCTTTAATTAAGCAAAAATGGATCAAATTGGTAAAAAGTGACCATTTAAAATAGTATTTACAATTTTAACACACTGTTTTTTTAACTTTCTATTCATTAAGGAAATCTGAAAAATGCATTTCAGTTTCCAGAAATATATTATCACAACATCTGTTTTTAATATTGAATTCTGAAGGATTGTGTGACTTTACCTTAAGCTCTGCAAATTCTGAATTTATATATGCATTTTTTTGGTTATTTGAGATCAAACTATAATAGCCAGAGCGTATCCTAAAGCACACTTGAACAAATAAAGCTTTAAATAAACAGAAATAGTTCTTCTTTGCTGGCATCTGGCTACCTTTTTAGTCTTATTTTATTAATTACATTTCTTGCAGTGCAGGTTTAAATTTACAAGAAAAATGGTAGCAGTCAGAAACTCTTGTGCACTTTGGATGGGAATGGATGGTCTGTCAATATCGACTGCTCCTGACATCCTTTCACAGATACAGTTGTCATTTTAATTTATTTGCTTTGTGACATTCATCTTATGGTGTTGATAGTAAAATCTGTAAAATGAGTTTTCGTGAGACAAATAAAGCCAACAGATAAAATTCTAGTAGTCATAGTTATCATTTTGTATTTGCTCCTTTAATTCTCTGTACTTTTAAGGGGAAATCTAAATGTGACATTCTGAAAACAAATCAGAATTTCACAATATTTTGATCACGGTCATAAAGAAAATCATATGAAACAGAAACAAAGCAGGTTAACAAAATAATTAAGCAGTTTAGTTATTATTTCTGGATGCATTCTGTTTAATGTGCATTAAAGACCCTCAAATAAAAAGTATTAAACCAATCAGCTACAAAAAAAATGTTAAAGAAATTACATTACATTTTATGAACTACACATCCAATATAGCAAATGATTTAATGAAATAAAATAATAGAACTACTCAGTATGACCATATTTGTTGAAAATGATTCAAATCTAACCAGATAGCAGGCAAACTGGTTAAATTATGTAACCCATGCTTTATGAGATCTGAAAGCTGTTGCTGAGCTATTTTGCCATGGTTCTGGTTGCCATGGTAACAGCAGCCTCCCTTGATTGGTGGATTCAAGGCGGCTCTCCTTCATCTGAAATCCAGATATCCAACACTAAGCCTAATATTCCTATACACTTTTGCTCAACTCAGAACTCTTGGTCTGTTTGTGCTGAATTATTTAAACATTATCACTATTGGAGGGAATTTTTTGATTGTTCTTCTCAGTGTTTTAAGTTTAATGTAAATATCTAATCTGTTTCGAGGCTCTCAGTGTTTACCTCTGTCTGTGGTGGTGTGAGGTAGGACTTGTGTTCTGCGTGGGACGTGTTTGTGGTTGGCGGGCCAGACAGCAGAAGCCTGTAGAGCTGCTGGGTCTCAGGCAAAGAAACCTGCAGGACCAAACCCTCCACCATCAGCTCCTCCAGCTCTGGACTGAGACCTGAACACACACAGAGATTCAGCATAAAACAGCTGCGGTTTTAATATTACGCACAACAAGATTTCAGCAGATGTGAACAAGATACAGACCCTGGAGAGGAATACAGCGCTGTTCTGTGTAAAACACCGTCTGCTCCTGCCCTGAAACTGCCCAGTCCTGACACCGAGATGGAGAGCCACACAGCTGCAGCTACAACAAAAGTCAACAAGTTAATTATTTATAGTTAATATAAAAAAATAAAAACTAGTTTAATATTAGTAGATAATTAAACAACTTAACCATTAAATATTAAATATATTTTATATAAACCAGATTACAAATATAAGTTACAATATACCTATAAAAGAATAAACAGCAAAAATCAGTTCAAGGCACTCAAAAAAATGTGGAAAAAAAGATTTTCCCTTGACCAAAGAGCACAGAAACATTATTTAAGGTACCTAAGCACTTTTTGTTTGAGTTTGAATATATAAAAAAATATTAAATCCAAAACTGAACTAAATAAATAAATAAACTTTAATAAAAATTAAATATAATTTCTAAAAATGCTACCGTTTAATTAAATGAAATAATTTAATGCTAATAAAACACAATAATAAAAAATAAACAATTAAATAAAAAGTAAATAAATGCAAAAAATATATTAAATATCATCAAACATTATAACAAAATACCTTGAATATATTAAAAATGTGTATTAAAATCTAAAACAAAAATCACAAAATAAAAAATATTTAAAATACAAAAACTAATAATAAAACACAAAAAATAAATTTAAATTGAACTAAATGTAATTTTGGAACGTAACAAATACACAAATAAAAAAGTGAAAATTTTTAAATCATATTACAATATTATTAAATAGAAAATATCAAAGTCCATGTGAAAGCAAAAGTGCAATTTAATCAACTGAAGACAGGGGCGTCTGGCCTGCCACTGTGATTCTGGCCTGCCGTCTAAAGTTATAGTGCCATATAAAGTTATAGGTCAATCATGGATAATAAAATCAAGTAGCTACAAACATAAATCATATCAATAATCACTATTCAGTTCAATTCACTATTATGTGCAAAAATTAAATGACTCTGTCTAATTTTCAAGAAGAGCACACAGTTACCTCTTCTGTCATGTTTTCTGACTGACTTGAGATTGCTTTGCTTCCGACTCTCGCTATCCTGATGCATTTGCGCAGTTTCATCTTCTCAAGATCTCCTTTGATTAGGCCCATTATCAGATTTACTTGTGATTTTAAAAAATTTAAATATGCGTGGTTTGGTCATCTTTAATGAAAGTCTGACCACTTGCTGACTTGAGATGGCTTTGTCTCTGTCTTCCGCTATCCTGATCCATGGGCACAATTTCATCTTCTCAAGATCTCTTTTGATCAGGCTCATTGTCAGATTTACTCGTGGTTTTAAAATATGAAAATATGTGTGACTGCCCCTTTGCCATTTTTAAAAATTTAGGCTGGCCACTACGCCATTATTTTTGCTGCTCACTGCGCACGAAACAAACAATTACCAACCAATGAGAGTGATTGTGAACAAAGTCGAATGCCTGAAAATATTGGTGAGGGCCAATAGTTAAACGTGACTTTTGCTTTAACTTGCTCACAGTGACTACCATCATGTGTGTGTAGGTATTCACCATGCACAAGTTAATGCCTGTTCCATGTAAATAAAAACCAGAACGCAAAACACAAATATCTGACATTTTCCGGAACAGGATCCGGCTTAAATTAAGCACTGGTTAAAAGTACATCAACATACTAAAATAAAAGTCTGATCAATTTCTGGTTCACATGAACTTTAAATGACTTTCCTTTTAGATTAAAAGTCTAAATTAAATTTGATATAAAATAAATACAATTATAATACAGTTACAATAGAGTCTCCACTTCATCTCTACAAACACTGGGAAATCATCTCTAACCTTCCTGCTGTGGCCAGTGCTCCTGTAAAGGTTCTGTGAAGGTGAAGCTCCTCTGCCATCCTGAGAGGTTGACGAGAGCCCATAAGAGTCTATAACCTCTCGCACCCTCCGCTGCCAGCTCACACTGCGCTCGATCATATAACGTAAAGCATCGCCTTCAGGTAAGCGCACGCGGATCCGCTGCAGTGAAGACAGCAGGCTCCTGATCTTATCCAGAGGCGGTTTGGTCGACCTCAGGCATAATGGACAAAGCCACGCTTCAGGGTCCAGGGGGTCTGAGGGACCCCGCACACACACGCTGTGGAAAGCGTCCCGGCACAGCTCACACTGCAGCATGGCGCCCATGGCTGGTTTCTGACACACACACACTTTGAGCGAGGCGCAGTCGGCTGTGGGCAGGAGCTTGGATTCATTCGATGCACGCAGAGAGCAGAGTGACTCCAGCTCTTTTAAACGCACCTCAGCCAAAGTAAACATCTGAGAGAAACAGATACAAAACAAATCAAGCATATTATACTTGTCAAGTCAAGCAATGTTTCTCAACCATGTTCCTGGACCACCAGCTCTGCATATTTTCCATATCTCCTCAACCAAACACACCTGATTCAGATCATCAGCTCATAAGTAGAGATTGAAAGGCCTGTAATGGGTGTGGAAAAGGAGATCTCCAATGCAGTGCTGGTGGCCCTCCAGAAAACATAGATGAGAAACAAATTTATATAGCTTTTAACATAATAAAATAAGTAGAATTGCACAGTTGTCAACACTTTTATTTAAACATTCTTGTAAATTTGTAAAAAAAAAAAAAAAAAAGTGTAAATTCTTTAAAAGCAAGCAAAATAAAGAAACAAAGGAGAAAGAATGATTAAATGGTTGCCTAGCAACATAAAAAGCGCAGGGCACTCCTTTTTTTGCTTGTCAACAAAAAATGCAGTGCAGTGCACCTCGCGTTCTTAGAACGGAAAAGTGCGTTTGGTGTGATCGGCCCCTAGGAGAACTGTTTCTGTAACTAAGATGATTCTAGAACTAGTGTTGTCATGATTCTGGATTTTTTAACTTTGATATTTTAAGTAAAATAGTTATTACAATTTTCAGTACCATAGGAAAATATTGCAACAGTATTTATGCATGGCTTAATTAGCATATTTGGCTAAATAAAAAGCTGAAGCATGACAAGCATGTTGAACACAAATAAGACATCTTGAAGAAAGCTGAAAACCTTTAACCACTGTCATCCAAACAAGGAAAAGCAAACACTATAGAAGTCAATAGTTACAGGTTTTCAGCTTTCTTTAACATGTCTTATTTATGTTCAACATGTCTTGATGTCCAAAATATCATCTTTTGTGTTTAACAGAAGAAAAAACTCAACTAGTTTTGGAACAAGTCAAGAAAGAGTAAATGTTGAGAATTTTCAATTTTGTTTAAACTGTCCATTTAAAGATTTACTACTTTTCCTAACAGGCCTGTTGTTCAGATTTTCACATGTGCAGCCAAAATATTTGAGCTTACAGGAGTAATACAAAAAACCTGTTGTTTTTGCTGTTTTCCAATTCTAATTTTCAAAGAAACTATTAGCTAAGCCTAAAGTTAAAACATTATTGGAGACACGTTAACAGTCAGTAATAAACAAATGTGTAGAGTAAACTCACAGCAGATGCAGAGTCTTTACTGTCTGAAAGTGCTCTCTCGACGTCACTCATACTGTCCAGCTTCACAAACTTCTTCTTCCCTGATGACACACAGTCGCCCTTCATCTTTCTCATCTTCTTCTTTTTCAAAGAGCTGCCCATTTCCCATCGAGGACATAAGACCTACACAGGGAGATCAGACACATGAATCTATGTGTGATATCAACTCACATTTGCTAGATATTAAGACTAAATTGTGAGATATGTATAGTCATGAATGTAAGAAAAAAAGCCAGAATTAACTACTCATGACAATTTTAATTTGGCAAAAATTTACCAACTTTTAAATCACTGTGAAGACCAGACACATTTTTAAAGAGAATAAAGAGATGAAATTTCATTATTTTCCCTTTAAAGAGCTGAAACTTTACATTTAAAAAAAGAAATGCAAATCAGATGACATTTACACAACACAACATTCAACTAAAAACCTGTTATGCAATGTTTGTTGTTGTCATTTATTGCACGCAGTTGTTGCGTAAAGTGTAATTTTATAAACTCAGTATTTCCCATAAGCTTCATATATGTGGATTCTAACCTCCAGCAGCGTGAAGGGGGAGCTCTTGATTAGGAAGGTTTTAGCTGCCGTCTCCTTCCAGGACTGCACCTCTGATACCTGAACCTCCAGCTGGTCCAGGGGCTCCAGTCGCACAGGAATAGAATGAGCTCTCAGAACCATATCAGAGAGCGAGCTGAAAACCGGCACCTGACCTCCCACCTGACAGCACAAAGAAACCACCATCAACATTTATATCAACAGACACTAGAAATCTAATCTTCGACATTTAGTGTGTAGCACTCAACCTGTAAACTCTCTGCTTCTTGAAGCCATTCTTTAGCCCTGTTCACTGTGTCCTGTAGTAGGAGGCAGTTTGGTAGGTATGCAGGTACACCTTCCACCTGAGTCAACATGGAGCAGAGTGTCTCTAAACTCTCTGGAGGTCTAAATGAAAAAAGAAAACACATTTAATTTAATTCAGCACATTACACAAAGACTTTGTGATGCCTCCTGCAGGCTCCCAGCATGCACCACAGGAATTCTTTCAGGCTCGTTTAAAGACTGCTTTGCATTTCCAAGCCTCTATTTTTGTGATGAACTGATGTAAATGATGGTCTGTTGTGCAATAGGAAGTGGTCCTTTAATCCAATCAGGAAGGGGTTATTTAAATCTAAGGGCTTTTGTTTGATATAAAAATCCCTATACATGTTGATATCAACTGGGATGAGATTTTAATGCCAACTAGCTTGATAAAATCATTAAGGTGTGTAACATTAGGGGCCAATCACAACGGACGTGTTTTTATGTTCCAACAATGCGAGGCGCACCAAAAAAACAAGAGCGGTGCGCTCTTTATGCCGCTAGGCAACAACTGAATTAACTGCCTATTGTGCGCAAGTGTTGCTGTTGATTTGTGTATAATTGTAATATTTAATAATATTGTGATATTCAAGATTCTCCTCTATCTTCAAAAGTGTCCATAGCTGTCCTGACAACACAAACACTGCTGTCACCTCAACGGAAACACCGCCTCCTCTCTTTTGATTGGAAAATGAAAAAGATGCAACTGACGTAACAAAATTTTTCTGTGAGTGCGCAACGGCAAAAATGTGAGTCACAGCTGGGCATAGGCCGGTATAAGATTGTGATGGTATGATAACCTTGGATACAAATATCATGGTTTCACAGTTTCACGGTATTGTGATTACTGCTTTAAAATATATTATTTTTATATATACTTCTGGGTATAAAAACTACATTTTTTCTCCTTTGAAAACAATATATTCTATTTTTTGAAAGATTTAAAATATGTTAAAACAGTAAACATGTCAGGCTGAATAATGAAAATAAATCATTGACTTCTGCTGTCTTCATTAGTTTCAAAAACACAGATTTCTTTACCATTTAAAATGGCATCTTTGGATATCTTTTCTGCTCTTGTACTAAAAAACAAAACAAAAAATAAAATAGAATAAAAATAAATCTTACACATACCTTAGGAATAGTACTGCAGAAAATCTTGGCGATTTTAAAACCTTTACTTTTCCAAACCATGATATACCTTGAAAACGATTATCGTCCCATACCTAAGTGCAGCAGGCGGTTAAAACGCAAGGCACGTATGGTGCATAAGCAGCCCGCAAAAGGCTTGCGGCAGTTACTAAATCATTCAAGAAAGTCGCCTCTCAACACGTGTGATTGGCCTCTTAGTGTTGCCATCAAGTAAAGCTATTACAGATATGTTTCAATAAGTGAAATAGGGGTGAAATGTGACAAAACCTACATACTAGAATAAATAAACAAATACAATAGAAATGCGGTTTGGGAAATAAAGGAAAATAAGCTTAAATTGGATTACAAAAATGACAAAGTAACTAAAAATTTTTATACAAAAAGGATGCAGCAATTATTGAAATGGGCAAAATCTACAATATAAGAATAATTATATGCTTTATACAAATTGTCACCATTATCTAAGGTAAAAATAATGAAAAGTACATAAATGAGCAATAAACACAACATTTAAAGTTAATTCACACCATGTTGTAAAGCGTTTTAAATATTCAAATAAGACAGTGTATTCAGTGTTATTATAACTTGATATCATTTGTAACTTGAAGAATAGGCAACTATATTGTACTCTGTGCTATTTAAATATCCGTGACCTTTTTTTCACAATAGCAAGGATTTTAAATAATACATTTTTATTTTAATATTTAATTTAGATTTCTTTATTTACATTTTATTCATTTCATTTTCATTCACTTTTAATAATAAATTAGACCACTTAATAGACCAAATGTTTAATAAATTACGAAAGAATATCTTTCAAAATATTATTTAAAACATTTATATAGATGCTCTTACACTATAATTGCATTTTTAAAAACAAAAGTGTATAACTGGCATACTATATCAGGCAGGGGTTTCCTTAACCCTATCTTTTATTTATTTACATGATTATTTTTAAGATGTATTTTCAGAAGGCTTGCCTTTATTGTGATACGTCAGTTTAGAAATATCCCATCACCCCTAAATATCAGTTAAAACATAAGACCATTTTTTTTTGAGGTTTGTGTGCATATATTTCATCTTCGCTCAGTGCTGCCCTCACCTGGCCTTCAGCAGAGCCTGCGCATTCTCCTCCAGCTCCTCTGAGACGGTAAGCAGCTCCTGCAATCGAGCCATCATGCGTTCTATGGAGGGATGAGGCGTCAGTCCAACCCCTCGGTCGATCAGCCTCCGCATGCTCTCCAGAGAGAGACCGCAGGGGTTTGCTACGGGATCCTCTGCTTGGTGAACTCCGGTGAGCCATCGAGCCTGTTCCAGACGCTCCCGTAGCAGCGGCAGCTCCGGAAGAAACACATCGAACTGAGAGCCTTCCTCCAGCAAAGACTCGATCTCGCTCACTGCATCTGCGCTCACTTCATCAGATAGAAGCTTCTCACTGTGCTGCTGGAAATCCTCTATGCTGTTAAGCAGCTCCTGAGAGAGAGAGGGGAGTTAATAGACTATTATATTAGCTGTTTAGAAATGATGAACTGTGCCTCAGTCGAGTGAGGCTACATTTACACTAATGTGTTTTCATTTTAACACAGTCTTTTAAAAATAAAATGATCCACGTCCATAGCGGTTTCAGAGAAGATCTCCATCCACACTACTCAAATTAAGGCTTCATTCACACTGCAGGCAAATGTGCCTAAAATTAGATTTTCTTGTCCATGTGAGTCCTGTCTGTTTTACTTAGGACATCACAAATCACATAGAATCTTCTTTTTTTTGTTGCTCTTTTTAATTTAATTTGACAGCAAAGGCTTTTATATGATCCTGTTTTCTGAAGAGAACTAAACTTAAATTAGAAAATCTAACAAATTTTTTTATACAAAATTTCATTCATTTTCCTTCAGCTTAGTCTCTGTTTCAGAGGTCACCACAGCAAAATGAACCACTAACTATTCCAGCATTTTTTTTACACAGCAGATGCAGCAGATAGTTTGATAACAAGCAGGAAATGTTTTTGGGCAATGACATGACCACATTGAAATGGTCTATACAAATTTTTATATTATGGTCTTAAATTAAACAACATTAGTCTAATACAAAATAAAAATAAATGTAAAATAAATTAAAATAAGAAAATGTGACAATACTATATACAGAATTTTATATATTATAATATTAATCGACATTTGTCTAGTGTTGAATGGTTATACAAAAAAAATTATAAAATCACACTGAAGTTAGGAGCAAATATAACTTTTTTTTTATCTGAACGCAATAAAAATTTGCATATTTATATTAGGGCTGAACGATATTGGAAAAATCTGACATTGCGATATTTAGTTTTTTTTCAATATATATTGCAATATACTATGTTATATGTGGAAATCAATTTTGGTCACACATTATTTTAAGGTTCAGTTCTTGCTCTTAGCTAACCATATTGACTTTTGCTTTAATAAACTCCTAATTTGCTCCTTATTAATAGTTATTGAGGTAGTTTAGGTATTGAGTTAGGAATATAAAATTAGATCATGTAGAACAAGTGCTTTATGCGTGCTAAAAAGCAGCCAATATCTCAAAAACATGCATGCTAATAAGCAACTAGTTATAAGCAAAAATTGGTCCCTTAGGTGTTAACGAATGTATTAATGATTGACTGGAATTGACCTGATTCTGTAGGTGAGTGAATCATGCATGCCATGTAATAAATAAACTACAAGCATAGATAAATGCAACAAAGCAAAGATAAAAGTGAAATAAATAGTGCATGCATTATAGATTTGTATATGTAAATGTAAAAACTACACTGCAGTCGACTCAACATTGTATATCTTTGCGATGTGACTATTGCAGATGCACACATTGTGATATCAAAGCTGAAACGATATATTGTGCAGCCCTAATGTATACAATTGATAAATGAAACAAATAATAATGCAATTTGTTATAAACATAATGGGTCTAGTATGTAAAATTAAGTAAATGAGCATTAAGTTAAATTGAATTTTCAATTCAAAAAAGTTGAACTTTTTCAAAGCAAGTGTGTTTGTTTTACTACAGTCTGCAAGGTCCGATTAGAAAAGCTATGACAATGCTATGTTTGAGAATCAATATCTCGGGAGTATTATGGATGACAGACTTAAACAGCAAAAAATCTGCATTACAAAATGAAAACACACTGATGTATACATAGCCTAAGATGCTGATAATCTTTCTTCAGAATGAGTGTGTGTGTTTTTGATAGTGTGCAAGAACAGGTTTTTCTATAATGAAAAGGGTATGACATAGTTGTACTATATTATTGTGGTTTAGGAGGACATGTCTGATGTCCTTATGTCCTTGTAATTAAAAAGCTATATTATATAAATATAAAAAGAGCATTTTTTACTGTATAAAAATTTAATTACGCCTATGGAGAGTCCCTGAAAACCACCAATATTAATAAGCGTGTGTGTATGTGTCACCTTGAGAAGCGGTGCTTGTGTCAGGCTGCAGGGGAGGTTATAAAGCTGGCGGACGAATGATCTCATTTCCTCCACTGTGAGCTGATTAGGAGATTTAGCCTTGCCTGTGCGGTACCTGCAGACAGATGACAACAGACAGACGTAAACAAATGCATGACAGAATAACATACAATTCACAAGCCACATGCGTTTCGGCTAAACCCAACCACTGTGTGCTGAAAAAACAAAAACAACAACCAGGCTGAAAATTCCCCTTAAATGGACATCAGCATGGAAAAAACACAGTGATTTCAAATATTTGTATAGTGAGTGTGTAAAGGGTTGTGTGTGTGTGTGTATAAACTGGCGTCTTTGAGAGCAGCAATGTGCCTCACTTATTTGTCTGTGCCTATAGCATTGCAATGTTGAAAAGTCTTGATAAGTGAGGTTTTGTTAGGAGACTGATCTGAAACGATGCTTTGAATTAAGGATTAATTCAATGTTACAAAAAAGTTATATTTCATTTAATCAGTGTTTTTTTTTTACATTCTATGCTGGTAAATAAATCTGTTGTAAACAAATCAAGGATCATTTCAAAATAAGTTTCACTGTGTTTTTTCCAACAACATTAAAAAGCTAGTGGCAACTGTTGTAGGCCTGTACAAGTTGTAGACCTGATCTAATGGCCTCTGAAAATTCAGCTTTGCCATCACAGGAACAAATCACATTTATAATATATTAAAATACTTATTTAATTTTGTTATAATATTTCATAACATAATATTTAACTGATCTGATAAAGCAGCCTTAAAACCGAAAAAAAAAAAAAAAAACAGTACAGAAGAGTAACCGTAGATTGTTTGAGCAAGATACATTATAGTCTGTATGCTGTTTTGAGTGCGAGTGTGTGAAAGTGTGTCTGTGTGTGTACCTGGTCTGCCGCTTGCCATTTAGCAGTTGCTGGGCAACAGACGAGCATTTCTCAGCATCTTGAGTAACCAGCCTCAGCTGACGTAACAGGTCATTCTCTGGGAACGACTGCTCATTGGACTCCTCCAGAAGTGTGCGAAACACAGTGACATCTACAAATAAAGACAGACAGACAGAGAGGAAGCAGAAGTGAAACACGACATAGTACTCACAAACGCATTTAACTCCAGTGATGTAACATTTATTGACTAAAACAGAATATTATGTGCAATAAAGGGCATTAATCGTAAAGGTAAACATGTAAAGTTATTCACTTATTCTTTTAAGTAAAATATTTTTCCATCTTTAGAAAATCATCCAGATGATTTAACATTTAACCACTAAATTAACCAGAAGTTCGAACTTACTGAGAAGTTTTTTTGTTTGGTTTTTCATTCCCTTTGTATCTCCATTCCAACATCAATTGTAATATCAAATCTTTATCAGAACATATCTTATATAAACTATACAGTTAATTAACAAAAGACATTTCTTTTAAGACTAATACATTTAGGTATTACTTTCTATAAATCTTGTAAACATGCCTCTGAATATAACTGTTGTCTATCTATATTAGTCATGATGGTGGTTCTTCTTGTGTATAAAACATGGCAATAATGATATTGAAACCACATATATTGAATTGGATTCTTCTTAGCAGAGATGGGAGTATCAGTTCAGGAAATCTCTAAAATGAAACTCACTGCGTTTCTTGTCTAGCTTTGCTTCCATGACCTCTGTCACTCTTGAGGCCCAATCATCGTAATACTCTGCCCTCTGCCGCACAGCGTTCATCATCGGGTAAAGGTCATCCAGTGTGAAACGATAACTGTGAGGTTGAGCATTACACTAAGTGAAACTTCACAGCACTCACTTAACCTTTGTGTGTCAGTATATTATTTCAATACTTTTTATCCAGCATCAGCCCTGATAAAAGCTAAAATTGTGTTTATTTTAAGAGTTTTAACCCTAAAAGCTACAGTTTGTTTAAATAATGCCACTGTTTTTATTTATTTTATTTTTTTTTACATACCAATTACTTGGCATTTGCACATTAAAACAATATTAACATTCATGTCAGCACACTCACATAATTAGAATGAAGTTTTAACTAATTTGGACAGAATGTTTAAATTTTATTTAAAATAATAAATATATTTTGTCTAAATGCATGTTGTTTGTATTAATGTGACAGTACACCCAAAAATGAAAATGTCCACACCATTTACTCATACTCAAGTGGTTTGAAGCATTTATACATTCTTCTTCTGTTGAACACAAAAGAAAACATTCTGAAAAATGTTGAATGAAGCAGTCATTGACATCCATAGTAGCAACAAATAATATAAGAGAGGTCAATGGCTGTTTTTACCCTTATTCTTCAGCAGATCTTATTCTGTGTTCAACAGAAGAAAGCAAACAGGTTTGAAACAAGAGGAGGGTGAGTAAATGATGGCAGAATTTTCATTTGTGGGTGAACTATCCATAGCACATCTAAAATATTACAGACACTTAAATTAAGAACAAAAATGTCTAAAAGAAATCACAAGGGTTGTGTTTTTTTTTCCAAAGCCTCTGCCAATAACAACAAGACTTTATATTTGAATCTTGGTGACACATTTAAAAAAATATTTCCCTAAATTATGACCAATGATGAAGAAAACTCATATAGGGCAATCTCTGAACGAGGGGTGGAGACGTACTTGAGAGTGTAGTTGGAGATAGGGCAGGAGCAGAGGTCGTGGGTGTGGTACAGACACACCTGGACTCCTGGTCTGCAGGGACAGGTGAGAGCAGACAGGTAACAGGTGGTGCGACACTTCACACACTGTCTCTCATCATCTGCCAGCAAGTCATATTGAAACAACTCGCACTGGGCCACCCCCTACACACAGACAGACAGAGAGAGAAAGAGTTGAAAGGATTATTTGGAAACAAACAGAACAAAAAAATCTGTTTGTGTTGTGAAAAATGGCAAAAAAGTAAGCATTACTAGCATTTTTTGTAAAATTACCTATTTTTTTTACCACAATGACATTACAATAAATTACAATCCATTACAGATTTTTTTTTACCGCAATTTTCATTCAGTGTTCCCAATCTTAAATCAACATAAACAATTAAAATGATTAGTTCATTAGATCAAACAACATTACAATGACTAGAATTTAAATACCAACTGACCCAGCAGGGACTCTAACCAGCAACCTTCTTGCTGTGAGGAGACAGTGCGAACCACTCAGCCACCGTGTTGCCTTATGGTATTTTATTATATATATATAAATATAAACCCGAAAGAATAATTTCTTTTTATCTACACTTTCCTTTATATAAATACACCCTGACAATAGCTTACAACCTTCCTCCTTCAGAGAACCATCCGTCTAGATCTGCTACAAAAAAAAAAAAAGTGATAATTTCATCTTCTGTGGCCTCGGATTGAGTCGTCTGTTCATCACGTGAAAGACATAGCCAATCATATGCCGTAAGAGCCAGAAAAATATTTGATCTAACAATTTCTTGTGTCCTCAGGTTTGAGTCACTAGTCGCTTTTTGGAGTGTTTCCACTGGCACGTTGGGTAAGCAGCATAGCAAGCGTTTTCAGTTTATTCATATAATAGTTGAGCGTAAAGCCTCATGCAGTGCATTATGCTATTGAAAGTGGCACAGAGAAAGCGTTGAGAGCATCAGAAAGGTTGGGCATTTCTTAACTTTATGCAAATGTAAAGTAAAAAACACCAGGCGGCAACCAATTGCTGTGAAAAGTAGGCAATGCAAGATGTTGATGTATGTTTACAAATGTTTGCTGATATGAGTGCTCAAAGACTATAGAATACACAAGACATGTCACTCGTATAGTTTTGAATGGGGAAAAGTGTAAAGGCCAATGTGGCGAATGAAACCCTGCCTTTTAGTGAGCCAATCATCGATCGCTATAGATGGACGATACGCCAGGGCAGGGGCACGAACAAGACATCAGTTTCTGCAGATTTTGTCTGATTCGAACATTAATAAATTAATCTAAACAGACAGTTATTGTTTAATTGTATTGGTGATTCACAATATGAAATATAATCATAAGCTTGCCAAGCAATTTTGGAGAATCTGATGTTTCCCCATTCAAACAAAATGCCCGAGCATGCCTGAGAGCAGAGGTGGGTAGTAACAAGTTACATTTACTTCGTTACATTTACTTGAGAAAAATTATTGGGTGATGTGTACTTTGAGTACATTTAAACATGTGTACTTTTACTCTTACTCAAGTACATTATTAAAGAAAGATCAGTCCTCTTACTTCGCTACATTTGGCGGCGTTACTCCGTTACTGTCAAATGATAATAAATATGATCCAGTCACTTTTAAGATTGTTTCTTTTACTTCTACTTGAGTAAAAATTAATGCAAGTATTTGTACTTTTACTCCAGTATAGATTTTGGGTGATCTACCCACCTGTGCCCGAAAAGCATTTAAAGATGGCCACCGAGTGAAATGACTTGCCTCAAAGGGACTTTTCTGTGCTGAAATCACTTCGAGAATGTATTTGTTCACACTTTGTTTACACAACCATTTGTGATTATTCATTGATAATTTCTTTGAAGCAGCCATTAGACAATGCACATGTGATCAATTATGGTAAATGTGCAAATCTACCTGATTAAAACAGGCGTACTCAGTCCTAAATTTGACATGCAACAAAGAAATGGCTTTGTAGCATTGCCAGCAGCACTGAACACAAATTGGATGCTGTAGTGGAAATGCACCGGTCAGGCTGTCACATGACAAACAAACGACTCAAAAACCCAAAGACTTCAAGAGGTGAACTAATCATTGGTCCTTCCAGCTCAGACTGTGCATTGGTGTGCTAATCATAGACAAAAGATCCAGGTAAATGTATAAACAAATGATTATTTTCTCTTTCTCATAGCATTCTAGTCATGACTTGTTTGTAGTGAAGGTTTGGGCTAGTTGTAAATGTTTGGTTTGGAAGAAACTCATAACATATGAATAATATTTTGGCACATTGACTTGAAAAATAAACAAGAACCCAATGGACTCAATGGAGTGAATAAAATGATCCAAACCTCCCATCACTATTTCCCAAAGCGAGAAGGATAATAAGCACTGCGCCATGAAGTGTCATCCACCCAAACTGCATTGACTTGACAGGATTAAATTGTGTTCGCTCACCATCTTACGGACTTTCTCCCGCAGCTCTCTCTCTTCTTTGATCATGAGCTGCATGTCCTTCTGTACGGCTGACGCCAGAACCACATCAAGACAGTCAGCCTTCATGGCCATATTACACACCATCTCATCATGAGAAAACACACAGTAGCGATGCAGCTGGCGGTAGTGATCCACACACTGACGCCCCAGTGGCATCTGCACACATATTAAGAGAAAAAAAATGAAGCAAAATTATTATAATCACATCAGCCCAAGAAAATGTAGGTAACAGTGTAATGCCAGGATGGATCCAGGAAAATCTCACCCAGTCCACTGTGCAAAAGTTCACAGCCTCTGCAAAGTTGAAGCCCTGGTTGAAGCCACTGTGATAGGATCGCGGAAAAGTAATGACAAACTCTCCTGCGCACTGATTGGTTCTGTAAATCTAAAAAGAGATTCATGCTTGTTACTCACAGGTGGGGTAAATGATTGTGTGTATAAATGTTTGTGTATTAATATGCTACTCACTGGTACTCCATGGGCCATGAGTGTATTAGGATTCATGATTGTGACAAGCTGGTGTAGAAGGTCGGGCTGAGAATCAAATAGTTCTGGGGCCAGTTTCTTCATGACGGCTTCCAACTGCTCAGCAGCAAAACCCGGAGCACCATACCAGGTCTTAGGTTCTCCCCTAACACAAACAAACAGGTTCAAAATATTAGTGACTGGTAAGTTTATTATTTTTAAATGAACATCACTTTTGTGAGAGTTTGAATGAACGAAAGTTGTAAGTAACAATCATGTCAATCAAGATCATTGAGGGGTCTTTTGTGTTTTTTAATAGGTGTAGCAATTTTGGGGATATTTGTCACCAAATGAAGTACTTTCCAAATGTTGGTGCCATTTTTATTCATGTTTTATGACTCAGACATATATCGGTGAAAATTAAATATACTTAATGGCATATTTGGTGATAAAAAAATATGAAAGCAAACATTGTCATTTTTAATGTTTTCTCCATTCTCTCATTTTTATTTCAGTGTACATATAGCTAATATCATAGCACAGCCATTGTCTTTAGATTATGTGTATGGAGATTTTGACAGATGACGATTTTAAGTGAACGCTTAGCCTTAAGCAGCATTCACACTACAAGCAACTCCCAGCGGCAAAGCAAAAATCCACCTTTCATTTAAACGAAAAGTGAGCGACTTCTCCTGACTTCTGTCTGTGTAAGCGACAGCGACCGTCAGCGACAAGGTGGGCATATCGAGTGACGCAACAAAGTATCCAACAAAGTTGAGAATCCCTCAACTTAATGTAAATGAAGAGCAACTGTATTGAGCGACAGCCAATAGGAGCACCTATAGAGTTCACATTATCCTCTTTCAGCTCCCGCATAGGCTGGTAGTATTCTCTGTTGTAGACCTACACAGACCTGCGTTTGCAGCAGATAAATAGCAACAATGACAGAAACACACTTTTTTTTCATTGATTATCTTTGTAAGTGTTTTATGTACTGATTCCATTTATATTTAGTGTTTTCTATGAACAATGTTTACTTTTAGTGTTACAAACTCATTTGCTCTCTGTGAATATCCCCATAAACTTTAGCCAAGCAATACCCACAACTGTTTCAATCGCCACCCAGCGCAACAGGCAGCTACAAAGCTGCTCCTTTTGTGAATAAAGCATTAATGGGCTGCGTTGTCAGACAACAGAAGTACTAAATGACATGTAAATGTGAACAGTTTTTAATTCTGCAATTAAAAAATATGAATAGGCTGAATAAAAAATAAATAATAATAAAAAAAAGAATGTAAAGGGTGTCACAATGTCATGAAAATGAAAAATTAGTGCGTGACATCATCTAGTGGCATGAATATTTCCTCTACAGAGCAATCGATTTTAATCACTGGCACATATTAATATCAGTTCCAAAGCAGGGGCCCAATCAGAAGAAACTGGTGTGTCGCAAGTGTGGCAAGTGGTGTACGCCTCTGTCTACAGTTACAAATTGGCATGACAACTGTTTTAGTGCTGCATCTTGAGTTTTAATATGCACAGACATGTTCTGTGTGAATAGCCCCTTAGAGTACAACTATACTGAAAAGAAAACATGTTTGTGGGGGTTGCTAAATCTAGTATCCTGCCTTACATAAAATGCAACTACAGGTATATTTCCGCCTTTAACTAAGCATAAAATACTGCTGATTACCAGTGCAGGTAGTTGATGGAATAGCTCCAGTGGTCCTCAATGTGCCAGCAGAACGATGAGAAGCACATGCCCACATACAGCCATGGCAAAGTCATTCCACAGATATCAGCAGTGACGTGTGTCAGCACTGATGGTGTCATCATTGCCATATTGTTCAGGTTCCAACCACACTGAAGATATTTCTACAGCAAGTGAATTCACAAAACAGCAACATCAGCAATGGAAACAGGATGTACTTGGTATAGAAATGGAATTAATAAGTTACGTTATGAGTAATATGCCAGAATTGATGCAGCAGCTATACCTCATCGTGCGGTGCAATCTTAAATCTTCCACCTTTGATTGGAAACCCACTTCCGAACTCTTTTGAGGCAATGTCAGCGCCATATTCCACTGTCACATCCTCCTGAATGGTGCCGACCAACCTCCAGAACTCTTTTTCCACTAATTCAGTGGGTACCATCTACATCAAATATCGTTCACAAGAAAAAAAAAACAGAGCTTCTTAATGATAAGTGACATGATTTAAGGTTAGATTTGTAAATATATAATCAAGAGACTCAACAGCTTCAGTAGGGATTTTTACATACATGAACAGGCATGTTGAAATAATCTGACTTGAAGGAGTCTGCCATTTCCCCAAAGGCTTTGAGAGTATAGTCTCTGTGTGCTTGCTCGAAGCCAAATGCCTCCTGAGGTTTACAGCACTCCTGCAGAAACACAAAAATAATGAGTCAATCTTTGATCCCACTTATAGTCTCTACAAAAGCTGCATTGTTTGGTTAGGGATGCTTTATGCGGTGCTGTCAAATTTATGTCCTGCTGCTCTATTTACTTTAAATGATGATGAACCAACAGATTTATTGTTTACTAATCAAACCTACCTGAGTCAGACATTTAGGGCACCGCCAATCACCTTTCGGAACATCGGTTAGGGGCGGGATTAAGCAGAATGTGTGGTAGCTGTCATCACAACCGTCGCATAGCAACAACCGATCCTCGTCGTTTCCCTTTCCACACACTAAACACACATAGAGGTCCACCTATAGACGGATAAATCACATGCCATATTTATATATAAACACATTTTAGCAAAAAAAAAGAATTAAGAGCTTAGATTTATTATTAACCCTTAAAGACCGAGACAGCCGCCCGCGGCTAAAAATAAGTATTGCTCTTAAATGTTTAATAACTTTTGATCCGCTGATCCGATTCATACAATTCAAAGATTGGCATAAAGAAGAGAATCTCAGCTTTCCAGTGCTGTATCACATAACATTCGCGGACTTTCAGAGGCTCCGAAATCAGTGCGGTTACGTCATCAAAATTTGACAACGCTGATTTGACAAAGAAACGCTCGTCACTGTGTCTCCGGACAAACCAGACATGATATATTGATGCATTGTCCCTCCTCCATGCCCAGATTGGTTCAAACTCGCTATATCACAACCAATAAGCATAGGTTTCGCTTTTGTTTGCTGACCAACAAGCTTTTTGAACAACACGGATGAGAGATAGGCATACATTTATGCGCGGCTAAATAAAACGCAAAAAAAATGTTTTGCATGAAATAATTTTCATACTAAGTACTTTTGCATGCACAGCAGCACAGAAACATGACAAAACAGTGACACAGCAAAGACGAACTGCTGCTCTTGCTGTTTTCAAAAGACGCAAATGAAGGTGCAGCTGTTTGTCTGCATTGCAGACAACCATATCCAAATCCATATCCACAGACAACCATATCCATGCTGGCACATAAAACCTAAGGATGTTCCATATTGAATCTAATTTAGTTATGTAACTGTTTATGGTATAGTAAATATTTATATCTATTTTTTACTGAGGTTTTGCACCATGTATATTTGGACTTTGACACATTATTTATTATTTTCTTATTTTTTTTTATTTGTTCATTGTAAGTGGTGTTGTTTATAGTAACTGAAAATATATTATTTGGAAAAAGTCAAATTTGCTTCACTGTTCTATTATTTTGTAACATATTTTTTTCTGTTTAGTTCATTCCCAGAACTTTTGGGCAAATACATTGTCAGTAAATAAATGCATTTTTTTCCCCCATAGAAAAACGCCTTGGAATAACATTAAAATAAATTGCTATAACTTGCTCAGGGAATTGTGGATGTAGACAAAATTTATTTTGGAAGTATAAAACATCATAGCATGTATTTCTAAAGAAAGAAAAACAAACTTCATAAGGTTTTGTTTGAAATAACTAGAAAATGCCACTTTTTTTAAAAATCATTTCTGGAAAATTCTGGAATATTTTCTGTCTGTTCATATGTTTTTGGACCAAAAAATATTTTAGACTGGACCTTTAAATGATACAGATTGAAACTTCAGGTTCTCCTGTTTAAAATGATATATGACACTTGAGGCTGACTGCTAAAATAAAAATAAAAACTGCTTTTAAAAAAATAATAATATAGGCCTATTAGGTGCCCACAAAATACCTCTAGGTCTTTAAGGGTTAAGAGATAGATTTTTCATTTTAAATCAAAACCTCAATAGCTATGATTCCATCCAAAAATGCCAGTTAACTTGATTATTGCATAAAACACGTGCGAATAAAGCAGCGTTTCCATCAAAAAAATTAAAGGGAACAAAATCGTCACTTCCTGATTAACTGGCGCCAAATATCAACAGTAAAAACAGAATTTGCTGCAGTAGGACAAGCTGCGTCAATCTTTTCTTTATGTTATAAATGACTTGCGCCTCAGAAGGCAATCCTGACACGCAGTGAATGTGTGGTGGCATCTGAAGGTGTGAGACGTTGAGCACAAACACTCTTGATTCTGGAGGTCTTTAATAATACAATAACACTAATACTGAAACGGTTAAGGTGTTTTAGAAAGGTCAAAACAACATTTCCGATGTTTGACAATGTGCTTAGCCTGCTGGTTTATCCATTCGCACACATTTTTATCACCACATGATCTCTTATAACAACATCACATGACCTTTTTTCATGCGCATACTGGAGTTTGTTCAATAAAAGTGTTTTCAATCGCAGTTTATGCGCATCTGTTCTTATCCAAAAAAAAGGTTGATCCTACTCAGTTTAGTCTTGGCATTTCCATCAACAATTTTTTATGCGCATATCCAAAATGGGCATAAAATTAGGCTATTGATAGTTTATTAAGTTTAAGATTGATCAGGTTATAATATGAATTCAAATGAGTCTCTTATGGATATTTGTGTTTACATTTTGCTATTCCTTATGTCATCAAGCACTACATCACTGTCGCTACAGCACTATTGAACATTGAATCCACATTACGTAGCTTATAAGTTAGCAGAAAAGCAGGTGAATTTAAAGAATGTGTATTGAAACAACATGTTTGGTCATAATTTGAGTGTTTAGGTAAAACACAACTACATGACAGCTTGTTGAGTAGACAAACTAAAAACGTTTTAGACCCAGTTTATAGCTATACATAGCATCGCCTGATTGTCAAAAACACATTCATATACCAGATGTGTACAGTGCCTTAGTGTAATTTATAGAACTTTTATAAACCAGTTTGTCCACAGTTTCTATTTACATGACAGAAAAGCTAAGCAGAATTTATATTTGAATAAAAGAAGGGAAGGAAATTCACCATGCTGACTGGAGGAGGGGGGATGTTTTTCTTCTTCGGTTTGCTTTTCTCCGGTTCAGGATTCAGCTCTTTTATCTCCACAGGTTCCTCTTTCACCTGTATAGGGATCTCCTTTTCTAATACACAATAAAAACACATTTGTTAATACAAGGAATCTGATTTGACTAAAAAAACTATGCTAATCCCATGTTTGCTTTGCTTTACTGGCTACAGAAGATCTGAGCCAGACGTTAGACGCAAATGGTAGATGCTCACTTTGTTCAGTCTTGACAACGAAAGAACCCATCCTCCTCCTGAGATTTGGCTTGTTCTCAACCCCCTCACCTTCCTCTGACTTAATACAGCCAGACTGCAGATGCAAAAAATGAGACACAAATTATTATACACAATTCATTGTGTTTATATCAGTTTTTTTTTTCTACCAATTTAATTGAACAAGAATGCACCTAATTTAGCACAAGTTATCGGAAAGAAAGTCAAAACCATATTATAAATTCCTTCACCAACACTTTAAGAAAACTGGCATACGTATGTGTTTATATTCACCTCTGTTTTCATCCTCTTGGCTCGTCTAGCCGGTGCGCTCGTGTTGCTAGGCTGAAGTGGAACATTTTGCCTCTGCAGTAGGTCGTGGGGTTTATACTCTTTGTCAATGTCATTCACCTCATCCCCAGGCTTCTGCAGACACTAAAGAAAAAAAAAAGAACAAGGCTCACTCCGTAAGTAAGAGTTGGTAGCCTAGAAAAATGTCTACTCTGTCATATTTTACTTGAGCTCGTGTTGTTTTACCCCGGTATGACTTTATTCTTTCCAGTTAAACACAAAAAGCGATAGTGAGCATAATGGCTAAACTTTTCCATAGTACCAATGTGTCTAGGGTATAATTTAAAGGTCAGTGTTTTCATAAAAATATAGATTTAAATTTTGTCCTTTTCCTCATAAAAAGCTTTCATAAGGTTTTAGATGAATTGTACTAATTTTAAAGTATGTGCAAAACAAAATTAATGTTTTTAGATGTTAGTATTAGTATATTATGTATATATCTCTAAGCTAATGTGCTATAAAAGGGTGACATTTAAAGCTTGCAGTGTAACACTTCTGCCTAAATGAATCAACCATTTTGTGACGTCACCTCACACTTCAGCTTGTCATCAAATTTTCTGACCAATCAATTGCTCTCTAGTATCTGACATACCCCACCCCCTTCAAAATGCTACTGTGATGCATGTTTGCGCTCAAACCCTCACACTAGCAGAGTTGTAATAAAACAAATTGCTGTTGGCTGTTTTTTAAAAGCAAAGCAGCTACTCCATGTACCACCCTGCCTTCATCTTTAAATTCAAATGACATCACATATGAACTAAACAGCACATTCCACAGGACTTGTAAAGTTACATGAAACGGGACAACTCAAGGTAAAGAATGAGCTACTTGGACATTCTGCAAATCATCTTTTTTTTTTGTGAAAAGACCACACAAGAAAGTACGTTTAAACCAGGTATTAAACCAATGCCATGTATCATGGGTTTACTTGTACTTGGACGCTCTAGCAAAACGATACAAACCATAACAAATCGAGTGAAGTCTAGAAAAGAGATGCATTTAATAGATTTTAAAGCAGTGGTGCCCAAACTTGGTCCTGGAGGGCTTATGTCCTGCAAAGTTTAGCTCCAACCCAATTAGACACCCCAGAACCAGCTAATCAGGCTCTTTCTAGGTATATTAGAAGCTTCCAGATTGAAGCTACACTCTGTAGGACATCGGCCCTCTAGGGCAGAGTTAGGGAACCCCAGTTTTAAAGGGTTAGTTCCCCCACAAATTAAAATTCTGTTATTATTTACACACCCATTTTATCCTGTTCCGATCCTTTGTGAGTTTCTATATTTTGTTGAACACAAAAGATATTTTGAAGAAAGTTGGAAACCTGTAACCATTGACTTTCATATTATTTGATTTCTTCTACTAAGGAAATCAATGGTTATAGATGTTCAGCTTTCTACAAGACTCCTTCTTTAGTGTTCAACAGAAAAAGAAACTCGTAAAGGTTGGAACCACTTGAGGGCGAGTAAATAGTGAGTCGATTTCCATTTTTGGCTGAACTATCCCAAACAGCAACACATCTCAACTCGACTGACCGCAGATCACTAAAATCCAGCCATACAGGTGTAGAACAACATGAAGAACTATCACAAGAACCTTTTCTTACATTATAATTTAATGATAAATTAGGCATGTTTTTAATCCAGATCAACTACATTTTAAATTCAATGATGACTCAAAGGTCATTTGAAGGTCACCTCAGGGTTCTTCAGACAGGAAATTGTGAAACTTCCCAATATCCTTCTAAACCACCATAGTTTCCCTCCACCCTACAGATGATCAGTGCTAACACGTGAATAACCTGTTAGCCCGGCTATTAAGTGTGTTACGTCTGTGAGTGCATGCAGAAAATATCTTTTCTGATTCCTAGTTATGCTACAACTATCAGATTACAGATTAGCGTATAGACTGGGGATAGCAGGAGAAGAGAGAACAGCTGGAGGTGTAAAGAGATTAGTGTGAACAGAAAGCAGGTCACAGTCTCTGTGGTTTGAGAAGGAGTGGGACGGGGGAGGGGCGAGGAGAGGATGCGGCAGAAGTCAAAAAAAGACAAAAACACAGAAAGAGCAGCAAGTGAAAACAAAGGCGAGAGTAGGAGGAGGAGAATGAAAGCAACAGTGCCTCGGGAAGATAGCTGGGGGTTTGGCAGGGGGTCAGGACCAGTTGAAAGCTGTCTGTCAAAAAAACACAAGCTCATGCCCATTTGTCCCCCAAATGGGTTTGGAAAAAGAAATTAATAAACACACATGCACGCACAACCTAAAGAAGCAAAAGTTTGTGTTTACGAATCAAACACAACAAAGTGATAAAGAAAGAGGAAGATCTACAGCGTAAGATAGTGGCAGGTTATACATTATTTATTAGCATAAATTCATATAACGATCTTTGGAGAGCTGGAGCACATTTGAAAAACTACTGAAAGCTTTCATCGCCACAGGTTTTGTAACAACATCATATCCTGTTCAGATTTAAATTGTCAAATTGGAAGATGGGGAAAGTCGACACATACCTCCTCCAGCACAGGAGGCTCCCCAAAACCTGTCAGTTTGACTGCAAATTCAGGAGCCTGATGTAGAAAAGAGCATCGAACATTACAGAGAAATTTCCAGTGACCTCCGGGTCAGAGGTCACTGATATCCCGAACCGAGATATCACACATTTAGTCAATAAGAGAAAAAAAATTGTTACGCTCCAAAATACTTTTGTATTTAAAAGCTCCTTAAAAACCTTAGATAAAAAAAATACATTAAGATTGAAACAAATCATTTATAAAACACTTTATTTTATTTATATATTTATTAAATGCTTTCAAATCCTCATTATATATTTTAGATTTATATAAAAGTATATACAGACATTCATATTTATCCTATCGATAGATTCTCCTATCCTCAAAATGGAGAAACTTACAATGACTAAAACACTGTAATTGAACCACAAGTGTTCGAGCTCTTCAAAACGTCCTATGTGGTTTTGTTAAATGATAGTGATAATATATATTCTCTTAAGACAAAAGAGCCCGGTTTACACCAAGCATTAAGATGCGTTTGGCTTATCGGCTCATAAGTAGATAAAGGAAATGCATTCCCATTGGCATTGGTGATTTAATCCATATATTTTGTCCCTTTCCAATCCCTTTTCTGTTTCTTTGTGAAGAAGATCTATGGTCAGAATACTGTATTGGCTTTCCATTTAAAACTAACCTGGGAAACTTTCTAATTGTTTGCTGTATAATAACCATACAAGCTTACTGCCAGAGTTTCAATCTCGTCTCTCTTGTACGCTTGAATGATTCATAATGCAATTAGAAATAGGTCAGTAGGCAGAAAGTAGGAGGTCTTTTGTGGTTGCGTGAAAGCATTTAGCCACATGAGTGTTTACACTATGAAAGCAATCATGAATGTGTTTTCAGCTACCTCAGTAGGTAGTTGAAAACACAAATGTTTAAAACATTTTAGATCCTGTTCACACCTGTCTTTAGCCTCATCCATTTGTGATCAGGTTGATTAAAACTCATCTTTACACCATGTCAAGTCATTTATAACCACATCTGGCTGTGGCACAAACAGCAGTAACACAACTGAAAACAAACATGGACAGTTGATAAAACACTTAATACCATTCTGCAGAAACCACAGTGTGCTCAATGAGACCTAATACAGCTAACCCCGGAGGCACAGCTCTAACACTGGAGACCAGCTGTAACCAATCTCCAACCCCCCAAAAATCTGCCCATACACATGCTGTGAATTCCTGCATGAAAGCTTTATGTAAAGTGTGTGATATATAGATCTGATACATCTACATGTTAAACTCACCAGCAGATTTGTCCCAGACTGAAAGAGGTTGTACGGGTACAGGATCCTCTCGTAATGGGCTCTCAGGTGGGAGCCCACAGCTTTGCCTGGGGCAAAACCCATCGTCATGGCGATCTTGGTCCATCTCCTCTCTCTACAAACTAAATCGAACCCACCCTCATCTGCAACCAACTGGCAGATTGAGAAAGAGTGTTGGAGTTCATTACAGAAAGATAACAAACATTCATCAATGCTTTTGTTTCTTTTGATCAACTATAAAGAGTCCATCTGTTACATGAATGACACATACAAAGATGTGTTAACAGGTTTTGGCAATCATAATGGCTCACAACTTGTACAGTCTGTCATTGAAACCTGACTGTAAGTGTCGCTCACTTTGTTGAGCTGGTACAAATCGAGGATTTTCCTCTCCACGTGGGGAATTTTGAGCGTGCATCCTTGTAGATCCCAAAATTTGGCGATCTGATCCAAGAAGTTGAGTTTGACTCTGGTTTGAGCCTATGAGAAAGAGGGGGAGGGGGGTGATGCGGCAATAAAGACAGAAAATAAGAATCAGCAACATTGTGAATGGGATGTGTTAATTATTAAACATCTCTGAGATGTGTTAATTTAATATTAGACATCTCAAAAGACCCAAATTCTGCTGACAAGACAGTGACCGCTGACCTTACGATGCACAAACATGCACCCTCCGGTTTCACTATTCATGAGGACATCTGGTTTTTCTACCTAGTGATGATATTTGTTAAACCCTGACCCTAAACTAGGCCCTGTGACAAAACCTGTTGATATCAGTTGATTGATGATTTGGCAGATTTATGAGTGCTTCAAACAGTGAGGAGCACTTCAGATGACCTCGCATGTTAGCTTTTAGCTACAATTGTGAGGATACTTAATTATTCCCAAGGCGTTTATATCCAAGCTGATATTTGGCAACACCATATTGGTGTTTCAAAACATCAAATTTTTATGAGGTGGGTCATTAGCACGATGCTCAATGCCCAACCTGGAGGACCAGAACATACACACATACACTACGGACAATTTAGCTTAGCCAACTCACCTATAGCACATATCTTTGGACTTGTGGGGGCAACCGGAGCACCCGGAGGAAACCCACGCAAACACAGGGAGAACATGCAAACTCCACACAGAAATGCTAGCTGCCTCAGCTCGAACCAGTGACCTTTTCGTTATGAGGCAACAGCGCTACCCACTGTGCCACCCCACAATTGTGAGGACTGTGTGAAATATTTGGTCCTCATGAATATGGTGGGACATTGTTTTAGCTTAAAAGCAAAATTGTGTTGTTACCTCTAGCTCATTTAGCCTCTGGATCCGTGGAGTAAAATGAAGTCTGTCGACGTCACATGCGAATGGGGGCTGCCAGTCCTGAACATACAAAGTAAACATACAATGATTAAACTTAATTTATCTTATTTTGCTATGAAATTATTGCAGTTTCGAGCTGCGACATTCAGTAGGAACCAGTTATATGGTCCTATGCAAATTACTTTTTTCCATACATGCATTTAGTTAGGGTGTAATATTCACATGAACACAAATACTTCTTTCCAATCCACAGCAAATTAAACCTCCACGAAGTGTCCTTGAGCTGAGCCTCATTTCTACTGAGGTCAGAAACAAAAAATGGCTAAAACAAGAGGCTTTTATAACAGAGATAATTTTCTGAATTTATTGAGCTTTGGAAATTTCTGAAAGCGTCAAAAATGGGTTTACATGCAGATAAAACATGGAGTTTTTGATTAGGGGCTAACAGTTCTTCATGTTCACAGATAAGACATTAATACTAATGGTAGTGGACCCTGATAAACAGACACACAATATCTACACAAACATCACTGCAACTGCCTGAAGTGTTTGAGTAGATTGAGACCATTTCACAGCTTCTATTTTTCTCTTTGCATTCACAAATTAATAAAAAAAGAAGTCCTTGATGAAAACTCTGTTCAAATGTGACTGATGCTCTGTGGTTTGTGGTCTACAAACTTGTGAATGTGTATATGCGCTACACTGTGTCTAAAAGTGAGCTTAGAAAAAAACTCAAGTTCACTGACACGCAAATCTGCTGTAGATGGCTAAACGGTGGAACTGTGGCTTTGTTAAGCTCAGACCCCTTTATAAACCATCTTGGTCCAAGTTTAACATGCTTTCTTTGTCTCCAGCCTTCCACAGCCACATGCTTCCCACAGCCCTCAGAAAAACAGCAACACACAACCAATCATATCTCCAGATACATACAATGTAATTAACAGTTTGATTACTAAAAGCAGACATTTCCCTCTTGGGATCAATAAAGCAATACCCTTTCATACACAACAAAAGAGACCTCATGGTGCAATCTTTACAATAAAACTGAGCTGCGAAACCACATATTTTACCTCAGTGAATTGAAACAGAATATTTTGGTATTCCACATAATAATAACAATGCAATTATCTAATAAGCGCTTGGAACAAAATACTCCAAGGTTTCACTCAACATATTGCTAGATTTCTTTCCTCATAACACAAAATGGCTGGAGTCTACATTAAACCACTGTACATGGATTTCAGTGGCTACATGTACACAGATTGCTTCCCATTTTAAGAACAATTTGCACCATAACCTGCACCTTTTACCTCAGTTACACGTAATCTATGAAATAAAGGTAAATTAGATGCATATCAAATCAATTTAATACAGCATTTCCTTGTTTGCTGTTCAGGCAGCATAGTTACAGAAAGGCACAAAATGGCCAGATGGTTCATTCACTCCAAAGCTCGCAACATGGAGGACGCACCCGGCCCCAGGACTTCATCCTTCTATCCATAGGGTTCGGGACCAGATTATAGGCCGAACCGAGCCAACGGGGCACTTAATCCGGTCTAAACGATTTAAAACGTCTCAGGAACCTACGCGTGTATTAGTCGATAAAGGGAAGCAATAAGACATTTGGGGGAAAAAAACATTTTTAGCTTTAAACCTAATATTACTTGATGGCCACAAACACCGTCACTAAAGCGAAGCTTTCGGTCTATAATGATGCCTGACAGATTTTAGCAGTTAATCATCGCCTGTTAATCGTAATTGTGCTTTCTCGCATCCGCGACCTCATGCGTGAATCGCGTCACGTAGCTACGAGTTTAATAGATTAATACACGAACCCGAATTCACATCAAACCCGGAGCCACTAACAGAACCAGCGAGTCTGGTCCAGAAGAGGAGGCGTGTTACTGGTGGAACAGCTCAAGCTAATCTGAATAAAATTATTTTAAATAAAATCAAGACCAAAATAATGGTTTAAATATACATGTAACGTTACGGAAATACAAATAACTTGCATATTCGTATAATCAAACATAGCCCACAAAACCATCTTCAAAATATAATTAAAAAAATATAAAATATAATGTTTGAATCATTTGGGTTGTCAAATGCTCACTAACATAACCGATAAAAACAAACGCCACTAAAAGCCTTCAGACTGGTTTAGAAGGGTCCGGATTCAGATTAATACTGGTCTGATCCGGATCATGTCGTTATTATGAGCTATAATTCAGCCCCTAGCTATAACTATAGCTAGGGGCTGAATATAAACGATAATTATTTGATTACATTAATCTAATCCGCACACAGCCACTGACCAGAACTCAACATATGTATATAGAAATAAGTCACCATAAAATGGTTGATTACATTATTGGTACGTTACACATGGGCAATAACTAAAAAAACAGATACTATTAACGTTAATTCATGAAGAAAGTTAATGTGCTTAGGTGAAAATGAAAGGACATGTTTATTTCCGCGTTGGCGTGCATCTCTTACTATGATTATTATTTTTCCTATTGTCTAAAGGCATTAGATTCTCTTTAAAAGTACAAGGAATCCATTTTAATCAAATGATGAGGTAAACGATGATGGTTCACTTTGATGGAGAAATTAACAATGCACGCGCTAATATTCTATACAATATAAAGACACATTAACGTATACTCTAAATCAGCAATTAACGATCAACAAAGTGAACTGCAAGTAAACGTGACGTTTAATCCTGCACTAGAACCGAACCAGGCCGTAAACTACATGCACAGCGGCTGAAAAGACACATTCTCCTGTGTAATATTCGCACATCCGCGACGTTTACGAGTCCTGGCCGAAGTTATGGCGCTTGTGGGTCAGAATTTGGGGTCATGCGGACCGGCAGGTCGAGCATTAAGATAGTAGAGCTTTCGAAATGCAACAGATCTGATGCCTATAGCTGAACACAAAGCGGTTCGGCAGTGCTGTCACTGCGCCGCCATGTTGAGACATTTCCCTTTAAACCGAACTCAAAATCACTCCGCAGATCCGGCCCGGTTCAGCCGGTCCGCCTCAGACGGTCCGGACAGCACTCACCGGAGGCGGTCGAACCTTGCAGATCCCGGTTTTCTCGGCGATAGGTCGGATTTTATTGATAAACGCAAACGGGTCTTTAAATTCCTCCCAACTGGGCTCGAACACCGGGCACTCCGGCGGTGGGGTAAACTCGGCCGGGCCCTGCTGGGTCATCCTGCAGGTCCGGTTCCGGAGCAGAATCGAGTCGCTCGGCAAAGCTGAGACAGAACTTCCTGGGATCCGCAACACGGTCTGTCCGTTCGTTACTCCCCGAGTCCGGCAACACTCGAACAACACGAACAATCAACACACACACGCGCACATACACACACTCACCGTGACGTGACTGCTCTTAGGCTGAGACCACATCCGCTCAAAAATCTAGAGACGAAGTCAGCATGTTCACTCATTTGTAGCTTAGAACAAACGTGTTAAAAGGACAAAGCAAAGGTAATATTTACCGCTTGTTGCGGCCAATTTTATACCGTTTCTCTTTCTGACGCGCAAACAAACAGTACTCTTAGAAAAAACGTTGCCATTCTTTGTCATCTATTGCACGCGCCATTCAAACTCGAAACAAACTAAACACACTCCTCAAAATCGCCTCCTATTTAGATGAACGTACAGTTTTTTGTAGATTACTCTGCAACAACTCTTAAAATAAAAGACTCCGCTGTTTAAAATCCTCTTTAATTTTCGTGGAAATCCACTTTTGTGTAGTTTGTTCCATGTGCCAGCTAAAGTACAAATAGACCCAAACGGTAATTGCAAACACCTATGACTAACACGTATTTTTCTAGTTAAAATGCACTCTTGACTTGTAAGTCTACGTGAAAACTTCACTCTTGTTTGCGCACGGCTAATTTTGAAACTTTATGAGTTCAGAGCATCTTTACATACACGTTGGCCACCAACTAATTCGTCAGCCGCATTGCTCCGCCCTTGTGTTTACCTCCGCGCACGGATACCTTCAGGTGACAGCTGCTAGCGACCGGGACTTCTTCTTTAAATAGACTCACTGCGACTACTGATTGGACAAACTCCACGTATAGAGAGTCGGGACGAATTGTAAAGGGGCGTTGAAGTTAACCGCCGTCAATAGCGCTCTACTTTTGTGTTAAGAAATAAAGGCAGCTATGTCAGCCTCACTTATTTGCCACGATTAAAATAGTTTGTTTGGATTTTCTTATATATTTATAATAAATTGAAATATATTGTATAATAAAACAAAAATTGTCTTATTTAGAACAAAGGTCACTCAACATTACTCTAAGGATTGCAGCACTGCTTCAAATCTTATAAATTAAAATTTGTTTACATTGCCATTAATCTAAAATACAGTACAATTTATTTAGATTAATTATTCGTTTGAATATTGTACAGTAACTAAAACATGTTGAGTGACTATAGAGCAATGTGACCTTATTTTCACAAAAGCTATATGACAAAATTTGACTTGCATTAATTGTTTATGCATTAAAAAAATTAAATAGTGCAGAAAAAGAAGAAAAAAAGAAAGCCCTGTGCTTAATCATAGATATGTATAACAGCTAAGCCCATGGCAAGTGGCAAGGAGTTTGATCTTTTGCCAATCCCGCTCTCCTCTCACTACCCTAGATATCTTGTCATATCTTTAATGTCTTATCTGCAAAATCTAAATAATAATAATTATAAATACAATATAAATTTGATTCCATTCAGGCACTACAATCATTTATGATTAATAATATGCTGTGATTACTAAAATCCAGCATGTTCCTTGTCACACAAACAACATGTGTATAATTTAAAGTTGTGCATTTTGAAACTGGCCTGTAAAAACATTTTCTAAAGCTTTTCCTGCCAAACTATTAAAATAATCATAACATTGTCCTCTTCATTTTGGTTTTATGCTAAAGGGAATGTAAAGCTTGTTGCCAGAGGTAGTAACATGGCTTCAGCCAATAGCAGCAAATTCTTGAGAATTAACTGAGCCTCTGCTGGTGGAAACTATAATTACACAATTCTGGGTTGAATAAAAATAACTTTACTCAGTTTGAATGCTACTTAAAGTTGTTCTGGACTTTCTGTGCAAGCTGCATGTCAACTCAAACATTAAAGTGATTTGTTCTGATGGAGTTATAAAAAGCTCAAATACAAAAATAAAACAGCATCCTTTGTAACTTATTACAGGGGTTCCCAAACTTTTCAGTTGGCAACCCCTAAAATAACAATGCCAGTAACTCACGACTCCTAAATTCCTTCAAGGTGGTTATAAATATACAAACGTTGTGCACACAACAAGCCCATATAAACACAAGAAAATTGACAACACAAAACACGTGCAACAGTCTAACAGCCATATCATTTTTAGTCATTTATTAATTGGTTTTATTTAATATTAACCTCAAATAAAGGGACTGGTGGGCACAATGTTTTCAGCACAAGTCTTGGTTTCATTTTGGAGACTACCACTCAGAGATCGTTCTCCTTGTTTAGTTATGGCCTGTATTTATTTGTAATGTTGCCATAAAGGTGTCAAAGTTTAACCTGGTGCTGCAAAATCAATCTGCTGCAGCTGACACTATTGCTGCTGTGTTAATCTAATGTAAACACTCTAAACCTATAAAAACAATTAGAATTTAAAGGCTGACGGCTTTTCATTTGCATGTTGTTTTTTTACTATTAAAAACAACTTTTTATCTGCTGTGGGTTATGCTTCAAACATAGTTATTCTAATAGTTTAATAAAAATGTATTTGATTTTGGAAATCACCAATCTCCTTTTCAGAACCACTGACTTATTGTACTGAAATGTTTGAGAATCGCCACTTGTATAGGAATTAATGTTGTTAACCTTTGATTTGGGCTTTCAGTGCAACTCCCCCTATACTTTATAATGTGGTGGTGATGGTTAGGATTTCCCCCTTCAAATGTGCAAAGTGCTTTGAGTGCTAGGAAAAGCTCTAAATAAACAATTTATATACATTTAATTACAAATAATTTACGAGAAACAAAGAGAGGGATTCATTCGGTTTTCATAGACTGAACAGAAGGCCCATCAATCCATTTGTTTTGCTCAGCTTTTAGCAAATATTTTTACTAGCCCACTAAAATCAGTTCACAATTCAATTATTGATATAGTCATGAACTGTCAAAGGCGTCGCATGCCTATTTTTGACATTAAACAAATGGCTTTCCTTTATGGAATCAATACACAAACAAATCAATAGGCACATTTGACAATTTATTCTGAAACTGCATTGATCACTTACACCATGTGTGAGAGACAAAGACAGCTTACAAAACAAAGTGCTTTCACAGACAGAAAATGCCTTTGGCAACAGTTTCTTTGAACTCAGACAGAAAAGTGGTATAGAAAAAGAATGAAACCGGACACAACAGAACATGTATAAATCACACACACCAGGGCATTGTTTCCCATTACTGGGATTCATAAGGCAGCTTGGCAATGGAGAGGTAAACACTAATTAGAAGTGCTGGAGTTGGACCAGTTTCTCTTCTGACTCCTGGCCAGGGTTTAAAACTGGTCTCAGATCAGCTTTTTGAAGCATCTTTAATACTCCTCTCCTTCCTCTCCATCCTCCGTAGAGTCTGCGCCAACCTCCTCGTAATCTTTCTCCAGTGCGGCAAGATCCTCTCTGGCCTCAGAGAACTCTCCTTCTTCCATACCTTCACCAACATACCAGTGTACAAAGGCGCGCTTGGCATACATCAGATCGAACTTGTGGTCCAGACGAGCCCAGGCCTCAGCAATAGCCGTGGTGTTGCTCAACATGCACACGGCTCTCTGTACCTTGGCCAAGTCTCCACCAGGAACCACAGTTGGTGGCTGGTAGTTGATGCCGACCTGTTGAGAAAGAGGTGGAGATGCTGTTAATTTAAATGAAGTTTGATGAAATCAAATTGTAAAATGATTTGTCAATTTCTCCCACCTTGAATCCAGTTGGACACCAGTCCACAAACTGAATGGAGCGTTTGGTCTTAATGTTGGCAATGGCAGCATTCACATCTTTGGGTACGACATCACCACGATACAGCATACAGCAGGCCATGTACTTGCCATGGCGAGGATCACACTTCACCATCTGATTGGAAGGCTCAAAGCAGGCGCTGGTGATCTCAGACACAGACAGCTGCTCGTGGTAGGCCTTCTCAGCAGAGATGATGGGAGAGTATGTGACTAGAGGGAAGTGGATTCTGGGATAGGGCACCAAATTGGTCTGGAACTCAGTCAGATCGACGTTCAGGGCCCCATCGAAGCGCAGTGAAGCAGTAATGGAGGACACGATCTGACCAATGAGACGGTTGAGGTTGGTGTAGCTTGGTCGCTCAATGTCGAGGTTTCTGCGACAGATATCGTAGATGGCCTCGTTATCCACCATGAAAGCACAGTCAGAGTGCTCCAAGGTGGTGTGGGTGGTTAGGATAGAGTTGTAAGGTTCGACCACAGCAGTGGAGACTTGAGGAGCGGGGTAGATGGCAAACTCCAGCTTGGACTTCTTTCCATAGTCGACAGAGAGACGCTCCATCAGCAGGGATGTGAAACCAGAGCCAGTGCCACCACCAAAACTGTGGAAAATCAGGAAACCTTGGAGACCTGTGCACTGGTCAGTCTAAATCAGATAGGGGAACAGACAAATTAGTCAATTTTGCATAATTAGCTTTTTTATTTAAGTTTATACGACTTCTGCCTTGCATAGCACCTAGTTTTTTTTTCCCATAGAGGTCTAGTGTAACCAAAATGGTTTTGTCCCGAACAAATCTTTAAAATTCCATAGAAGAGGAGTCATTAAGATGTAGGAGAAGTGTAAATTATCATTTTAAATGGGTAAACTGTTGCAGTAAACTGATAAATAAAACCATCTTCCAACCACAACTGTAAACATGACTTGATTTTACATTTAAATTCAAGCACACTTGAGTAACATTGCTTCATAACATGCATTTTAAATCTGACACCCAAATTACCCTTGTAGGAAATAAAAAGATAGTTATTTAAGGACCATTCGCATGAACTAAACGTAGCTCATAAACCGAATCTCATGGTCTAATCAGTACATCCATAATTAGAATTTCTGCATTATAGTTCATACCAGTTTGCGGACACGCTCCAGAACCATATCAATAATCTCTTTTCCAACAGTGTAATGGCCTCGGGCATAATTGTTGGCTGCGTCTTCCTTCCCAGAGATGAGCTGCTCCGGATGAAACAACTGCCTGTAGGTTCCGGATCTAACCTCATCTGAAACAACAGGTATCAATAAATCTCTTTTTGATGCAAAAGCATTTAAAGCTAGCCGATTCAACTAAATTTAAGCTAGTGCAAATGATGAAAATGTTAGGTGTAATTAACTGAGCAGCTACATGGCAGAAGATTATATATTATTTTATAATGGTTCAGTGTTACTCCACTCACCAATGACTGCAGGCTCCAGATCCACAAACACCGCTCGCGGCACATGCTTCCCAGAGCCGGTCTCACTGAAGAAAGTGTTGAAGGAATCATCACTTTTACCAATGGTCTTATCACTTGGCATGTTGCCATCAGGCTGGATGCCATGCTCCAGGCAATACAATTCCCAGCATGCATTGCCAATTTGTACTCCGGCCTGTCCCACGTGGATGGAGATGCACTCGCGCTACACAAAAAGGGGAAAAAAAGGGATTTAAATGGCTGCCAATTTTCTGCTGGCTGCATGCCAATAAATCTGGAGGTTGTACTGCACTACATTTCGATTCATTTTCCCCAGTTTTATTTATTTCAGCTTACCTTATGCCAGGTTTGCACAAACTAAAATGTGCTTTTAGTCTTCAGCCTACAATTTTAGCCTGGCCAATTTTCATTGCACTGCAAATTTGAAATCTATTAAGTAAATAAGTAAAGTTTTAAAAATGTGACCAGTGCCAAGTTGAAAGAGTCAGCTGAATGTGGGAAGTTGACTTTGAAGCTAAAACTGTAATCAAATCCCTACTTCCTCATTCAGCCATAGATAAAACTGTGATTATAATCACTTTACTTGAGTTCATTCTAAGGGTGTTGTTTACAAAATGTTTTAGAGTAAGAGCTTTATGCAGTTTGGCCATTCATTTACACAAGTGTTTCAGTCTAAAGCCTCAAGAGTTCTGAAATGTTGTCATAAGTGTAAAGTTCTGAAAATGGTACTCGAGACTCAGTTTAAATTAAATGACACAAATATTAAAAATGTCATGTGGATGTGAATTATGCACTTAGTATTTGACAAAACTATGGCATTTTAGCTGAGTGTTTCTTTACAACGACAGCACCATCTACTGGACTGGCATGTGTAGAGAACTTTTTTTCCTGATAGATGTGAAAGGGAATTATTCGAAACATTTTTGTGACTTTGTACACATGATGTAGCCTAAAAGGCACTACAACACCTGGAAAAAGATTCTTAAATTTAGCGTTAATGAATCTTTCTTCGAGCCGATTACCCCAAAATAAAAATAACCTAGTCAATGAAGAACTTCCTGAAAGTAGTGCAAGCTCGGTTTTTATAAAACAATTTGAGCAATGCATTTCACTTCCTCAGCCTAAAGTTCACACTAATTTACAAAATGGTTCAGGAATGTTTCAAACTCGTGTGACTGTCAGTGAATCCAGTCTTATGCTTTATTTGAAAGCTTCACTCACCAATCCTTTTTTGCTCTATAAAGAATTGAGGAGGGGGTCTACGTTATATGGAATATGCGAGGGCAATTAAAATTGAGTGAACCATCAATTTAAAACTAAAAGTCCTGTAAAAACTCTAACCTCGCAAAGATGTCCACCGGTTTTTTTTTTTTTTGCAACACTTTAACCGCATAACAGTGACTCAGTCAGTCAGTATGTGCTCTCTGATATCTTGCGCTTTATCGCAAAATGGGCGACAGGAAGGAGCCAGTAACCTGAACTATGGCCCAGGAGGAAGAGGAGAATATGTTTTTAGCTACCAACATCAAAGCCACGCCAAAAAGAAGTAACAGTACTTTAGTCGCTTTTAGAAGCTTGAGGGCTAAAAGTCTGTACAAATGGAGAGAAAAAAGTCAGCAGACTCCCCCTCCCCCAGCCTCGCGCTCCCACCGGACAGCGCGCGTGAATGGCCTCCGCGGTGGGATTCCGAGAATTCCTCGCGCCCTGCTTGACTTTTAGATCAAATAACGCTATTGTTATACATACACGATTATAATATTTATTTTCAACGTCTAGAATAGAGCCACACTTCCTGAGCGAATATTTCACATGGAAATAAAAGACACGGAAGAGATACAAGACATCGGAGGATGGCACTTCTTACATAAAGTTAACTGTTAGTTGATAAAGTGACTAGTTATTTCTGTAGCGTCAATGTCTTGAAGATAAGATAAAATTTCAGTCACATTTTAAATCTAGGCTGTATGAAGACTATCATTCAGGCCAAAAATCTAAATTCATGTTTAACGGAGGAGCAAAAGTTAGCTGAGAGTGAATAACAGAATTTTTACTTTCAAGTGAGCTGTGCCTTTAAGATGCTTCATAGAGCCACGCGACTGCAGTCACAAATGCTACTTTTTATTCTTAAACTATATTATTAGTTACATTTCAGTCAATAGAAATAAACTTACCATTTTGTCTTCTTTCTTGATACAAGTGTTACAGAAAAGTTAAAGTTTGGTAGAAAAGCACCAAAAACCGGTTTTGAGCTCCGTTGAGTGTAGACGCGTAACGTGTCTCCGCCAACACAGCATTGCGGGGCCAAAGGTGCGCGGTTCAGTATATATATGCCCATGCGCGTTCACGCCGCCCGCTGGAACTCGCGATTGGCCCGTAGCAGCATCAGCAACGTCCTCGCCCTACGATTGGTGAAATTGAACACTTATCTTTACATTTAAAAGTGTTGCGACATTTAACCGTCCTCAAGAGCGAAATAGCTGTGCCATGTCTCCACCTTTTCCCTTTCCTGACACGAAAATAGTATGTAATTCGAGAACCTCAGTATTCACCTCTTTTCGTCTTCACGAGAAAGGGAGGTTTCCTCGGAAAGTTTTCTTCTGTGGTGTTTCAGGTACTTCTTTTGTTTGAGTTTTTCACTTCACTAAAACATCTCGACAATTATACAGAGTAACAAAGAAACAACCAAAGCCCTTATAATCACTATATCTGGTAGACAATGTTTTTGCAGATGAAATCAAAGTTTTTAGCGTTTTTTTGGGTCGTTTAGTTCATGCAGATCAGCTCAATTGTACTTCTATTATCAATCAACAAGCAAGACAACCCCTGAGGTTAACGTTTTAAGTCATACTTGTGTGAGAAAACCCCAAAAATACTGATGACTTATCTACGATTCTGTCCAATTACATTATTTCCAATAATCAAGTCCAAACTATAATTACAGTTCTGTAAATGAACTGTAGCTGAAAGGTCAGATTGAGGGTATATTTCCAATATACATGTTGGACCTTTGTCATTCATTTACACAACTCCGTTATAGAATATCTTTAAAATCAGCACAAAAACAGCTTCATGAAAGATGACATCATGCATATGATGCGTTCAGTCTATGGGCACAAACAAGTGTAGGCATGAACCACTGACCTCAGTGCTCCCGGATGTCCCCCCCCCCCCATTATTTACATACTGTCCCAAAGTATTTTTCACAAGGAAATATGCCAACAACAACAAAAGAAAACTGCAAATAGTTTGAGTCTTCAAATGTTTTACAAAACAATAACTATGGCAATATTTAGCGACTAAAGACCTATTGAAAAATCTTTGCTGATGACACAAAGTTTATTTTGTAACATGATAAACAGACTTTTCCTTTATTGTCTTTATCATTGTAGTCACAATGTGAAAACTGCATATCACATCAATGATATACTGCTGAACATCGGCTATGCAAGTCACCTTTCATTCATATTAATGGGTCAGTTTCCAGTATTAAACAAGTTTTCACTGAAAGCACAGCTAAATTCACCCGTGCAGTCGGCTTCACACGACTAAAAACACCAGCACACTGGCTTCTTGATATCTCTGAAGCTTCTATACATGATGATGGAAAAATCCCTGGTGCATCAGGCACGCTGATAAAGGGTCAAGTTAATAAGAAGAGCCGAGCAACCAGATGATGATGACCGATGTTACAGACAGGATTGAAACAGATTACACAAAGCACCGCTGTTTTCACATCCTGATGAATCCGGCAATATTCCCTCCTTCAGGAAGCATTCAGTCACTTGGGCAGTAAGGCATACACATATCTGTCTCTTCTCTGAGACATTTTGACACCAGTAGATTATCATATTGCACTTTAGAGGATCCAACTGAGTGAATTTCACATTTTAACCAAAGATCACAGACTCTGTATGAAGACGAAAACATGTTGGTGAACCCCACATGTTGACTGTATCATGAAACGTTATTCTCCCTCAGAAGGAAAAACAGGAACTGAGATCTCAGATGGCAACAAAAAGTCATAAAAAAGCTGGATTTGATGCTCCAGCAATGAATTCCAGCATCCAGAAGTCATTATAAAGTGTCTGTCAGAACGGTTCCCTCAGCTTATTTTTCTCTGAGCACACAAACGCCTGCGTCACAGCGTTGTGTTGCCATTGACGTCACCACTTCCCAGCTGTCAATCACGGGGTCGTAACATTCAATGCTGCTGAGCAGTGAGTTCCCATCATATCTGCAAAAAAAGAACAGAGAGGCAATAAAGCAGGGGATTAAGCCTAAAAAAAAGTTGTAAAACATGACAAGTTAACACCTTACCCATGGTGTTTGCGGGGTCTTAATAAGTCTTAAAGTTAAAAAAAAAAATTCTGTTTCACTGAAACAGTGTTATAGGTAGGGCTGGGCGGCGTATGGCAAAAATGCAATCTCAATAATTATTAAGGATGCTCTAATCAGGATACAGAGTAACAAATTCCTTGTCACTGTAATACAGAGTACTGATTCTGATCTGAAAACACATTTTTACTCTAAGTATGAGATTTATGCCTAGTTCAGACTGCATGATTTTAGCCCCGATTTTGACTCGCCGACATGTTTTGAGAAAATCGCCGACAAATGGCTGAAATCACAGGCAAATCGGTGGTGGCGCACGTAAGTGACAATCACACAGTATGAACTATCAAAGACGCGATCTGAGAGAATCGCCGATGCCTGTGAGATATTTGGCGTGCTAAACATCTGGAGCTATCGGCGATTCAAATCAAGCCGTGTGAAATGAGTTTTGACTGAAAATAACGTCAGCGATCGCCTAAAGCCAATGAGAGAGCAGCATTCACTTGTGTGTGTTTGTGTGTACCTGTTGGCGAGCGGGAGGTTGGGGGAGAAGTTAAAAGCACTCAAGGACCCAAGAAATGGAGGAAAACCTAGTGAAGGTTTGACAAGAGCACCTGTGTCTGTTTGACATTTTATACAGAAAGTTAAAAAAAGAAAGTTGAGGTGAAATTGCTACTTCCCTTCAAACCCAGGTGAGCAAATATGTACATTTTCTACCCCATTTAAGGCTTCTTTCTCGTTATATAGTTAATAACAAAAGATATACTGCATGTTTTTGGCTGTGAGACGTAGTTTGGACAAAGTTGTCAGTGATTCTTCCTATTGTAAATTCATGCAATGTGAAAGCCCCTGTCGCCAATCCATCTTGCAGTGTAAACAAAGCAGAGACAAAACGCTAGCCCAGATAGTCATGCAGTGTGAAAACATCTGTGACTTGACTACTTTGAAAATCATGCAGTCTGAACTCGGCATTAAGTGTCTTACTTAAAAATATAAATAAAAGTACATATCTCTTATCACCATTTAGTATGGGCATGTCTTGATCAGCTTTACTGAAAATAATAGATTATTTACACTAAAACAGATAAAAAAATTTGTAAGAAAAATCCTTAACAAAGCAATTTGGAAACATTGCAAAATAAGAAAGAATAATCATGTCTCAATCACGTCTCAATTAAGTTTAGAGCACATATTTGATGCGTAAGAAGTTAAAATGCACACCTAAAAATCCATTACTTCTTAACTAAAAAGGAAATAGGCCTATAAACCACTTTTATTTAAACGTTTATTACAATAAGTTTATCACCATAAGTTATATCAAATATTCAAGCTAAAATTATTTTACATTTTTTATTTCCCTAAAATTTCCGGCCAGGTTTTAATGAACTTGCAATATTGTTGAAAACACAGACCTTTCTTTTCATTTATGCAAAAAGATTTCAGTTCTAATATTTCCTCTGCTTGTAAACTTGTAAACAAACACTTGTGATCGGTTCATGAGATCGGCCAGATTAGCGAATACAGATCGAGTCATGAGATCTGATTATCTGACGGTACCGATCGATCGGAGCATCCCTAATAATTATTTTCCATATTGAACGATAACAATATATATTTCGATTTAAGTTGTAAATGCTTCCAGATTTAAAAATAGTACCCCAACAATGACTAAAGCCACAAAAATAAGAAAGTCCATTAAATGGTGGCTGATAATTCAATACTCAAAATATCAACAATCTTTTAGATTCTCGTTGTTGAACAATATAGAGTAGATCTAGAGTAAAAAAAAGAGCTCAACACTAGCTATGTTTTCATCCAAAAATGCAAATTAACTTTATGCGCAAAACTGGAATATTGCATAAAAAACATGCAAATAAAGCAGCGTTTTCATCCAACAAGTCAAAGCGAACAAAATCGTCGCTTCCTGATTAACTGGCGCCAAATATCAACAGTAAAAACAGAATCTGCTGCGGTAGGAGAAGCTGCGTCAATCTTTTTCTTATTTAATAAATGACTTGTGCCTCAGAAGACAAATGTCTTCACGCAATGAAAAATGAAGTGGCTTTTGAAGGCTTGAGACGCAGAGCGCAGATGCTCTTGACAGTTCTGGAGGTAATCAATACTATAATAACACGAATACTGAAACGGTTAAGGCATTTTAGAATGACCAAAACAACATTTCTGATGTTTTACGATGTGCTCATGCTGCTGGTTTGTCCCTTCACACACATTTTTATCATCACATGATCTCTTATAACATAATCACATTACCTTTTTTTATTCGTATACTGAAATTTGTTCGGCAAAAGTGTTTCCATCATAGTTTGTGCATCTTTCTTACTAAATAAAAAGTTTATCCTACTCAGTTAAGCGTATATGTTTTTTATGCGCATGGTTAAAATTAATGCGCACCTTGTTGTTTTCATCAACCGATTTGTCATGCGCATATCCAAAATGTGCGTAAAAATAGATGCATTTATTGGCCCAGCCCTAGTTGTAGTTTTTAAATCATTTTAAACCAGTCTCTTATTTTCCTATGTCAAAGTAAAGCTACCCAATAATCAATCTTAAAAAAATAATAATAATATACTTAATTTTTTTTTTTTTTTAAATCGCAAAAAAGATACATTTTACAACAACTGTTAGACATTTTTTCAGTAATTTCTCCAAATTAAATTCCCCAATCAGGGAAAGAAAACAATGCAGCACATCCCTTTACATAGTTCTCTATTAATAGAAAAACTCTTTACAGAATTAACCGGGCCATTAGAAAAAAATCCTTGGCTAAAATCTAAATAAGTCTAAAAATAAGTCTTAAATTTGACTTGAAGAAATCTGCAGAAACCCTGCTCACCCTGCAATGGCATAAAGTCGGCCCCTCAAGACGGTGGCCCCTACGTAGCAGCGTGGTGTGGTCATATTCGCCACTGTGGTCCAGTAGTCTGTGCGGATGTTGTAGACCTCTACTGAAGACAGATGCGCTGTGCCGTCAAACCCTCCAACAACATATATGTGATCATTCAGCAAAGCCACACCAGCCCCTGTAATTCAGATGAAAGCAGCCACAATATAAATATAATTGATCTAATCTGAATAAACAAGTAGAGATATGTACATGCAACAAAATTTTTTATTGTTTTTTTTCACAGTGAAAGTAAATTTTGATGTAATCGTTACACATTTAATACATAGGTGTCAAACTCAACTCCTGGAGGGCCGCAGCTCTGCACAGTTTTGCTCCAACCGTAATCAAGCACAGCTGATCCAACTTATCAAGGTGTTCAAGACTACTAGGCTGTTTCTCAATTCCAAGAATGTAGAGAACGGACTTGCGTTCTTGTGGAGACCGTTCTTGCCAAGTAACTTCAGAAGAACTCGGGAGATTGCGAGAACAGAAAACGCATCCTGTGAGAAATCAATGAGATGCTGCTTTCTTCCTGATGATCACATGACCTTCATGCATTTTTAACAGAAAATTATTTAAACATGAAAGCACTCATACAGTGATTTATTGTTTTCCCCTTTTGAATATAACAGCCATCATGTGCACTCGTTATCATTTTAAATATGCAGATCAAACTGAATACAATCTTACATGGCAAGCAACACGCTGATAATAACAAAAAATCAAACAAACACGATTACAAACGCCCCAACAAGTATGTGCGCATCACTGCTATTATGTTTATACATGTAAATTTTTTTGTATGAAGTAATTTAAACCAAAATACACAATCAAACATATATACTATGATATAGTTACTTAATACTTACTGAGTTATTAACGCACATCAATACCACACAAAGAAAGGACAGACTTTGATGGAATAAACAATGAAAGGTAAGCTCCTTTATGGTGCCCTGGACAAGTTTGAACAACCCATGCATGCGCAAGGCAGGCAGGTCTATATGCAACTTATCGGCTTAAAGATATCGGCCTAATTTTGACATAAGAACGATAACATTAAAAATAGCATTTATTGGCCGATTACGAAATGGCCACCAATATATCATGCATGCCTTATATATCCCATATACACCTATTGAAGGTGTTCAAGACTCTTTAGCACATCACGATTAGTTGGATCAGCTCTTTTTGATTAAGGTTGGAGCAAAACTGTGCAGAGCTGAGGCCCTCCAGGAATTGAGTTTGAGACATATGACATAATGTGTATGTACTTTTTGTGCTATTTAATGTTTAATCATGAGTAATCATGTACAAAATAAAAGTTTGTATTTACATAATACACGTGCATGCAATGTGCATATTTATTATGTATATAAATATCCACACACATACATGTACATACTTAAAAAAAAATAATTCGAGTACCTGAGCGTTTGTTGGCCATGGGAGTGACGCTGGTCCAGTGCCCTGTGTGAGGGTCATACCGCTCTACAGAATTTAGAATGTTCAGGCCATCATAACCACCTGCAGCCACAACAACACAATGTTTATGATGTCTCAAAAGCTGCACAAGTTTCTGAATTTATGTTTGCTTCTTAGGAGTGACTGTATTTCTGGTTTCTCATTAGAAGATGACAAAAGTAATTCTCCAGATCTCCAATCACATTTGTTTTAACAAGAAATAAAATGTTACCTAAACAGTAAATGAGTCCACTGGCCACAACAAGTCCCGCTCCCTCCCTGGCAGTCTGCATATCTCCCAACATGCTCCACTGATCAATATTGGGGTCGTATCGCTCCATGCTAGTGTGACGTCGACTTCCATCGAATCCACCCGCAACATAGATCATATCTGTGGAAGAAAATACACAGATAATGTCAAACAAATCCAATCTAAGCTTGAGTAATACTAAAATACCATTGTGATTGACATAAAGTTGGTTTGCTCAACTGACTTGCAAAAGTGCTCAAGGCGATGTAGCCTAAGAAACACTGTGAAAAGAAAATCACCCTGCTCTAAACCCACATAATTTAGACTCACTCAACTTGTTTGGGTGGCAGATTCTGTTTCAGTCTTATGTGATCTCAACTGAAGAGCTTAATCTAATGTTTCAAAAACGAAAGAAATAAATCAAATGTGTGAGAACACTTCTACAGAATAAGTACCTCCGAGTGTTGTAGCTCCTGCAAGGCCTCGGCGTACATTCATTGTGGCTACAGAGTACCAGACTCCATCTTCATCAGCTGTGTAGTCCAAACACTCAACTGAACTCAACCGCGATCGGCCATCATACCCGCCAATAACATAAACACGATCATTTAAGGCAACAGTGGCAACGTAGCGCCGCTTTCTAGCAATGTTCTGGAACATAAAGCATGTTTTTACAGAAATTAAAATCATCCTTTGCTGTCAATAAGCAAACTCTAGAGTTCTACAGTATTACACTTGTACACAAAGATTCTAAACCTACTATAGGCAGACATGATGTTTGCTTCAGTATGTCTATATGTTTATGGAGATATATATATATATATACATATATATATATATATATATATATATATATATATATATATATATATGTATATATATATGTATATATATATATATATATGTATATATATATATATATATATA